TTTTGCAGTTATGAGCAAGGTCCCCACGAATGGTCATGTCACTTCACAGAATACATGAACTGATAGATTAGACCTCCGTCCCCTCAGAGAACGCTTGGGTGAAGTCGGTTTCAACTGAGGACATGTCCAAAACCATGCTAAGTACTTGAGCTGCTCATGAACCCCACAATTATCAGGCCCACCGGAACCGGTCTGGTTGGTCGGGTTATCACCGGACCAACTTGTTGGCCACCAACAAATGTTTCCTGCTGTGGAGGACGTGTGTACCCGCCATATCACACACAAAGTATAAAAGGCCATGAAACTACCAGACCGATCAAAAACTGCTTCCGGCGGTACTGATTATACAGTACAGGTTTAAAAAGCAGCTCCATTTTTGTCATACATCAAACCAACTCTGTCATTGCTATGCTACTCAAAAAGAGTAGTGATGTTTATTCACAAAAGAATCACAATGCTAGCAGAGAAATTCGATATTCTCCAATTTTAGGGACACTAAAGTACTATGCAAAAATTAATGCTGCATGGTCATTGGTATGAAGCAGTCACCTCAGTACAGCAATTAAACAGGCTGATTATGTGAACGAGATTCACGGCAAATCTTCTTCCATCAGTGCTGTTCAGTCTTGAGTGGTCCACTGAGGCAGGAAAACAACCTGTTCGGTCCCTCCATACGAGAAACAGAAATTGAACATGTTCCAGGGTGGAGGTGGCGAGCATCTGCAATGTAATGCACCTTTAGGCCAACACAACCATCATTCCGACATGGATTCTCAAACACCTTCGCTCGTGAGAGTGCCTCAGAGTGGTATTCATCAACAGATGGCAATCCTGTAAAACACATGAAAAGACATAGCAGCAACACAAAGAAACCTAATGTTATAGAAACGAATTCGAAAAACAAAGTCTACTGAACCAAGGTACAACCACACTCCAGGAGGCAAGCAAAAGTGCATATAATCCGAAGGTTGCGATGCCTGTATGTATTGTATTCATTGATTCATGGATTCTCCACAGGCCTTAGCCTAAATCGAGGGAGTCTCTGTCATGCCACACAGGATACAACATGCTACCAGAATCACTTTCCCCAGTATTGATGATCTTTTCTTAGGGTGTTATATAAAACACATCTGTAGCCACTTCATCTTGCTCACGAAATCATACACCACCACACAAACGGGCCCTTCGGCTATTATAATTTGGGTGGTGATGTATGATATTGATAATCTATTGATACTAGGGCTGAAACGATTATATCGGTTATCCGTCTAATCGATCATAACAAGGAAACGATTTCGATTACGCTGTCTGTTTCGATTACGCGATTCTAAATAAAAAACGTCTGCAAGAATCAAAATATGTCATGTACAGCACTACTAGATACTGTACTTTGTTCTTTTCCTCGTTTCTTTTTGTTGTCCATATGTTTTCCAGTAGGGCTGTGAAAAAATTAAAAAATTAAAAACTGACTGTCTGCACCTGCACGTGATGTGCCACTGCATTGCGTAGAGTACGCGGTCTATCTGCACGCGTGTATGTACATGTATATGTGCATATTTCAACACGGCATGCTTTGTGCTGGTCTGGCACGACAATTTCTAGGACGCAGTAATCAATAATCATAATCGATAATCGAATCGATACAAGGGTAGGTTAACCGATAGTTGAAAAGTGTAATCGTTTCACCCCTAATTGATACCATATCCAAGTCTGACTCTCACCGTGAGATCCTGGCAACAATATTACCTGGTACATGACATATTCAGACACTGACGTAAACATCTTTTTGGAACAACACATGTGCCTATCTGCTAGTGTAATGTGACACACATGCAGAATCAGTCATAGCTAATTTTACCCCCTCACTGTTGTATGCGCAGACTCCACTTTGCGGTGTCAAGTACTCTTCTTTCGGTGGACTACTTCACTAAGGCGCTTGTCTAAAAGGACTCATGTTCATCCTGCAAACCTACACGACTTGCATAGTTTTCACTGTCGGCCGAAGTCCATGCATTGCACACATTGAGATTCACTCCCTCCGTACAGGCCAGTACAGAGCTGCCCACCAATTGAGTCTGTTTTGCGTACTCAGACTTCTGATTTTCCGTATCTTGCAGTGTTTTGCGTACTGCCGTGTACATTGCATGCATACTTGCACTATAAAGTTTTTTGACACGCACATGCATGTCGTAGGCTGCATTTGGTAGTGTAAAACATGTGTGACTTGCACTCACGACATTATTTTTTGTGCTACAAGTACATGTTGTCGTGGTACGGCATGCACTCACTTTGGTACAAGACTATTAATCGCTCAGCTTACACTTGCAATGCTTCTACACAGCTGATTGATCCTCTTCGATTTTCTGTACCATTTGCCCAAATTCTGTAGTGCGAACAAGGAGTGATTTTCGGCACAAATACAGAAAAATATTTTTATTTTTTTCAGTCATTTTCACCACATATTTTCTTTATCATGATCCCCGGGTGTACGTGTGGCGTTCTTACGAACGCGGAAACGCAGTCTTTCTAACCGAGTCTCACGTGCACTGTGAATTTGTTCTTCTTTTATTCACAATGCCATGTATCGATTCATCGCTTCTTCGCAACTGAGATCCTGTGCAACAGCGATTTAAAGATTAGCTTTATCAAATAGTGATCAGAGAGAGAGAGAGAGGATCAGTTGTGGGTGCTGTGACAGCATAGAGTGTAGATTGGTGCAAACATCATTGCCCAGCAGAACCGTATTCATAATCATAGGGACCTGCGTTTAGCATTACATTTCGGCTATTTTTTAGAATTTTTACAGGCCCAATAAGCCTGAAGAGAAGAACACTTAACTTAGACTGTCCTAACGTTATCGAACGCACTGCCTAAGTAAAAAAAAAACATTTGAAATGCAAGCTCCATTGTGCATGCATGGAGGGCACATGGGGAAGAGACTGAGAGGGTGAAAGTGAAGGAAATTTGTTCCGAAATCAAGAGAATCCGAGGAACCCTTGCTGCATTCTTCAGTTCGATAACGTCAGTGGGTGCATCTCAGATGTGTTGTGTGCCCAGACATACAAGTAGCACTAACCTGAGCATGAGAGCTGCTTGTCATCATCGTGGTCAGGAAAACGAAAGGACGAACGAAGAAGATTGCTGACCATAACGAACAACAGTGCATATCCAGACGACAGACGGCTTGCATCTTCAGGAATCTTCTTTCCTAATCGCATTCAGCAGTCAGCTTCGAGGTCAAGAGCGCGATGATATTTTCAGAAGGAATAATTTTCAAATTTTTTTAAATTTTGGAGAAGAAGCTTCCTTTCTAAAAAAAAGCGTTCCTTGCTTTCACGCAAGATGCCTTGCGGGACATGTCGTCGACAGCACAGTGTTGGCAGATCCACGTTTGTAGGCTGCAGACCCGGCAGACGTTTTGATCAGCCCGGCCTGGTGGTGAGATTTTGGACCCGGGAGTACTAAAAACTGCTCGCATCCCAGGGTGCTCAGTTTCGCTCTATCCGATCGAGTAAGGCTTCCAGAAAGGCCCTCAGGTGCGCGGCCTGCGGTGCCATAATATACCTCTTATCTTGGACCTAGTCCTTGACTGTTGCCATGTTGAAAATGGCGCTCACAAGGCACCCAAAAGGGTGAACGTCGTACAAAAAGTCAACAAGCTCTATCTCCGGAGCTCCATCCACGTGTGCGTACCACAATGTGTACAAAAATGATTTTACCCGCCATATACGCACAAAGGTCACATTTGGATCCGTTGGATCCGGTCAACCCTGCTCCCCGAGGTGGGTTGACCCAAGATTTTTTTTTTTCTGGCGCGTGAACTCCAGTTCCGTACGAAAGTTCATTTCAAACTAGAGGGAAAGTACACTCACTTCTGAGCATGTCATGAAAATAAATCCGAGAAGAAAGAAAATGGTATCTTCTCGACGGCAGAGCGCAGCGACAGAGGCGAGAAGTATTTTCTCGTCACAGCGGTTTTTTCTCGTGTTTTTTCTCACAAGTGAGCAGTCATCTGATCAATTTCTTTTTACTCGTACATCTTCACATGTTCTCTAAACCGCCGCGCATGAGCACGACTGGCCAGTCGTCTTGAGGTACCCACCCTCCCTCCCTGTTTTTTGTACTTGTCAGATTAGCCACTTGGGGTTTTACACCCGGTTTTTTCCCTCAAAAAAATAATGCGTCCGTCGGCGCGAGGGTTTTTTCCCGGCTGGATCGGCCCAGACGAATTAATCTGACGGTCCCAAGTGGTGCTTCTGGTTTTCGGTCATTGCTCTCTCAGTTGCTGCCATTGCGTTGCTTTCATAGAATAACCATGTGCTCTGTCCCTTCTTCCGCTATTCTACAATTCCGCATCCTTCCATGTAAAAGAACGTGGTGTCACACTTCTGGCCCTCCTAACCGCAATACAAATGTGCTGTTGTTTGGTGTGTAGCGAATGTGGCTTATCGCTGTGCGAGAAAGGCCCAACCCTGCCCTGCCAGTTATTCCAGGGGCGTAGGCAGGATTGTGGCTGAGGGGGGTGCTCACTGGAAGTGTGGGCCTGCGCCCGAAGGGTGCGAAAAATGGGGGGGGGTGGGGGGGCCTCCCCCGGAAAAATTTTCCATATTGAGTGCCAAATCCTTCATTTTTGCATCTATTTCATTATTTTCCATTCCACCAATGATTCAATAAAAAGTCAGATAATCGTATGAAACGCACAGTACTTTGCTACAGAAGTTGGATGGTAAGAGATTGACAGGGTGTGGTTAGACCCAGAATATAATACAGACAATTGTTGAAGTTCGTTCAATCCACGATTGAATACATGTAATCACCAGGACACTGCTGCACATTATACCAGCCAGGATAGGAAAATTTTATAATACAGGGGAAATCTTATTATACAGGTATTAGAGGTTACGTATGTCTGCCGACGAGTGCTCATGTTCAATCTGCCTCATGAGATTTGTATTTACAGTCCAGATGTGCCAGAGTGAGATGTACCACAGTACGCTGCATCATTCACTGTGCAATACATTCACCAGCTGCATTCGTCGTGGATGGCGGCGAGCAAACTCATCGATAACCGCACCCACGTCAACTGGAATGTCATGATGAACCTGCAGCAAGGTGAGGCCAGACAGCCGGGAGTTCTTCATCACTGATCTCTGCCGGTCCTTGACCAGTTTCAGGGCGCTGAAGGACCGTTCGGACGAGCAAGACGTCACTGGCAAGGTTGCAAGAAGTTGCAGAAGGCAGCGGATGTTCGGGAACATCTGGGAAGCGTGGGGTAGCGCTGTTGATACCGAGGTCGGCAAGCTAGCTTCACCGTGCTCTGCCTTTGCCTTCACCCACTTCACGCGCCAGCAGTGGAGCTCAGCCTCCATACTACGGCCAGACACAAAGTCGTCGTCATACAGCTTCACCAGCTCCTGTACTTGGGACTTCGCAGCGTCCATGGACATCTTTAGCAGCAGTGCTGGGATGGCACAGAAGCCCTGGAGTGCGGTCGAGTGGTGCGGCGTGAACCTGGCCTCTATCTCCGACACCATGTGGTCCAGAATGGGCACTGTCAGGGCACGTCGGTAGTACTGGACGGGCGTATCGGCCTGAACGTTGTTCCGTTGGGTCTGGCGACCACACAGCCTAGGAAGTGATGGCGTAACGTGCACTGCCTCACATACGGACTTCACCACTTCAAACCACTCACCATGGTAATTGTCCACATTTCTTCGGACTTCTGCCAGTGTGGTTGTGACGGAACTCACATCGTGCATTGCTGCAATCAAGTCCTTGGCTTCTGCTTGGAGACTGGAGGTGATGCCACGCACGTAATGAAGGCACTTGTTGACAATAACTAAGGCTGCGATAAAGTCGGTGTTGGTGATAGCCGTCAGCAAACCATTCGCATCCGTAATGGAATCTCTTGACCACGCCTGGGGACCTTCATCCAGGATTGCATTGAAGCAGACCACAAGCATGGGGTGAAGGGCCAGGAAGGATTCCAGTGCATCAAGTCGCTGCACCCACCGTGTCCTGCAGAGATCCTTTACCTTGGATGTATCAGGTTCCTCGTCTGCATCATTCAAAGCGGGGCTCGAGCGCTTTCTGGCGTTTCGGATGGGAGTCGAAGAAAACTGCTACTCGGGTGACGACGCCCATCATATTCTGCACCAAACGATCTTGCAGAGACGAGACGACCACCAAGTTCAGGCAGTGCGAGGCACAGTGCAGGTACAAAGCTCGGGGGTACTTCTCTGTGATACGGGCAGCGGCACCTTTCCTGGCTCCTGCCATGTTGCCTGCTCCGTCATAGCTCTGTCCACGGAGCTTGCCAAGGTCAAGGCCAAGACGGGTGATGGTATCCGTGATCAGCTTAGCGAGGGCCTCTCCGGTAACTCCTGCTGCACACTCAACGAACACGACAAAATCCTCTCGAACCACCTTTGTCGATAGGTCCACGTACCGTAACACCAAGCTGAGTTGCTCCTTGTTTGCCACATCTGTCACCTCATCAGCGATGACCGTGAACCATCCAGCATCCTTGACCCGATCAACAATCCTCTGGGCAATCTGGTCACCAATGATGTCGATCAGTTGGTTCTGGATATCTCCTGACGTGTACGTTGCATTGGCTGGGGCAGAAGCAATATGACCAGCTAGGATCTTGTCACCAGCCTCCACTCTGAAGTCCATCAAAGCCCAGAAATTTCCACAGTTTGCGGAATCCGCGGCCTCCTTGTTTGTGCTGGCGTCTCTGTGACCTCGCAGAGGAATATTTTGTCTGCCGCACAAGATCAGGATTTTGATTATCGCCTCCAACTTGGCGCGATTCGCAGCTACCCTAGCCGCGAGTCCATCATTGGTCAGCTGTGCTATGTCCTTCGTTCCCCTCCATGACACTGAGGAAGCCGTCAGCTCTTACCACAGCGTCCCGGTGGTAGGCTTTCCCCATATGCTCATCCAGGAGCGCCAGTGCTTTCCGAAAGTTCGTCAAGGGACGTCTTGCCAAAACACCGAGCGACGATCCTCGGAATGCATTTGCAAATAGACAGCATGGAACGCAGACTCCGCCGGAAAGCGAAGGGCTAAACACCAGCCATGGTTTGTATACATCGAGCCAGCGGGGCTGAAAAGACCGGCCACCATTCTTCGGGAAAACAAACGAACTATCCGGTTTGACATGGTCCTTTAGCAGGGCAAACATCACGTCGTCGTCGAGCGGTGCACCCTTCGCAATGTCCTCCATGAAGGTACCGATGTCATTTCGGACGACTGCTACTGGTACAGCCAAGGGCGACAACTGCGGCTCTTCAGAGTCTTCGACTTCGACAATTTCGCAATTAGATTCGTCAGATTCGGAAATGGCACTGGCACTGCTGCTACTGGTATCTGGTCTCTTCGACTTCCCTCGACTGAAATACTTCAAGATCGACATTTTCATAAGAATCCATTCGACTTGCGGATCACAAAACGACGTTGACACTTCTCTTTCACTTCTACCAAGTCTAGCTACACAAAGTGCGAGTCTATACCGGTAGTTGTACAATGCGCAGTGCATCCGAAAACGACCAAACTCACATTCAAAGGCAAAGATCTACACACAACTATACTACCACGGTAGTACGGGTAGTACTACATTGTACTAAAAATTAATAATTAACATTATCGCACCCCACGTGAGTGTCTCCATGGTTTGAGCCAATCAGCGGCCTTACTGAGCGTGCAATATTCCCCAGTACACCGCCAGCCAATGTGGATGCACTGCAGTGCGATATTGCACCCCGGCGGGTGAGCGTGCAAATCTTTACTTATAAAAGAGAGGCACCTGTGACGTGTGTCTGTGTGTGTGTGTGTGTGTGTGTGTGTGTGTGTGTGTGTCACGCTCCTTATAAAGAAGAGGCACCTGTGACGTGTGTTTTTGTGTCACGCTGAAGCGCTGCGGAGCAGCGCTGCCCTGAGCACGCGAAGCGTGCGAACAGTGTAGCACAGTGTAGCTAGCGGCCGCAGAAGCACTGAGCACGCTTCGCGTGCGAATCGTGTAGCTAGCGGAAGCAGCCACAGAAGCACTGAGCACGCGAAGCGTTCGAATCGTGTAGCCACCACAACGTGCTGAGCACGCGAAGCGTGCGAACAGTGTAGGTACGGTGGTAGCGCTTATACTTATAGCAGACACGATCAGTACGAGTAGCAGTAGCAGCCGCGCGCAGAAGCACTGAGCACGCGAAGCGTGCGAATCATGTAGCCTAGCCACCTAGCCTAGGCCATAGGTAGCACTAGCAGCCGCACAAGCGCTGCGGACCACGTGAACCGTTCTCTGCAAATAGAAACATCTGCAACAAAAGGATACAAAAGATCTGCACTGACTGCATGCACTCTGCATCTGATCTGCAGTGAAGAGCGCATCGCACTTTTGTTCGTAAGTAAGTTTATGAATTTTTTGAGCCGCTTCATCCGCCACCAGGTGATGGACAACCCTGACCAGCCTCCCGAAGGTGTAACAGACGTCCCTCCTTCTCCTTCCAACGATGAAGAACCTCCCTCACCAGGACTTCAGCGGTCTGGCCACCACCACGCGCTGAGCACGTGTGCTGTTCATGTACTTGCTTCACCCACACGCCACATTCGGCCAGGCAACGCTGGCGGGGGTGCTGCTAGTACCGGTAACCTATATTTGCACGCTCACTTCGAACCTATATTTCTATTTGCACGCTCACTTCGAAGTGAGCGTGCAAATATGTATGGAATCGAGCATGAGTACGAGGACGAAAGTGCGGAATCGGAGCCCGACGCGCGCTAGCGCGGAGGGCTCCGATTCTAGCACTTGAGTCCGAGTACGAATGCTTTGATACCATTTCTGACATGCATTGCACGAACTACTTCGTACTACTAGTACTACTACATGTAGTACTTCACACATACCTAGTACCTATCATCAGAGACCGTTGGTGAGTTGGGGATTGCACTGTTGGGTCACAAGTTGCGATGTACTCATCAATGTCGGGATCGTGGAACTCAGTCTGCTGCTGTGATCGCTGAACGCTCGTTGTTGGCGCTGTAAGAGCACGGGTAGCAGCATTGGTTGCAGTTGGAGACTCTCCATCCAGAACTGCAGCCATCTCTTTTCTAAAAAAAAAAGCGGCCTCTGATGGCTGAATCGGAGCACGCCTGGGCGTGCTCCGATTGGAAAATCGGAGACCTGCAAGCGCTCACAGGTCTTCAGTGGCTGATTCAAAGCACGGCAAGTCGCGCTAGGATTCGCTGTTGCCATGTCGATTGTCATGTGACATGTCAGAAAGGTTATTTGCACGCTCGCTTCGAAGTGAGCGTGCAGATATAGGTTATTTGCACGCTCACTCGCCGGGGTGCAATATCGCACTGCAGGCTTGTGGCTCAATGTAGCTGAACCATCGGACCTTATTTGTCAGCTTGGATCACGTGATCCATCCAGCTGCCGCGTGCGGCAAACAGCCCAAAAAGCGCTAACTCTGGCCTGCGAGCGTTTGCTGCGACTAGCGCGCTAGCGCTCGTGACATACACAAACGCGCTAGCCAGAATGCTTTGACTTTGATGGCTTTCAGCTTCTATTTTTTGAAAAGTAGCGCGCTCAGACCAGCTCGCTCACTCATTTCCTCTTCCATTTTTTAGGGCAATTGCCAATTTTGTTTGATAGACGAAGCTTAGGGTCTCTTTGGGTTTGCAACCCTTACCCTCCTGGAAAAAATCATAGTTGCTAGACTGCGACACTTCAGACCAGGTACTATTAGAGCCGCTAATGGACGACGAGCTATTTTCCGCTATCCGGAGCTCAAGCATTTGAGCCGCTAAATGGACGAGACTCCTGGGGTAAAGAATGCAGAGACTGAGGAGAAAACACTCGTATGGAGCAGGGAGTAGGTATTGTACTACTTCCTGGTATGGAGCACTGAGAAGCGGTAAGTCTTAGGGCAATTCTTAGCCTTCCCTACCTCTTAGCTTTCTTAGCCAGTAATTACTTTCTCGCCATAATTATGTTCTCGTTTTTCGTGTCTTCTGTAATGCCAGTACACTAGCAGTACGACTACACTGTAGGCGAGAGTCCATAAGCCAGAGTGTGCAGCTCTCCATCTATGCAGCATAAACAAATTGATGACAAATTTCCTTTGCCTAAGGGCTGGGTTCCACTGCCGCTCCGCCGCACATCATCCACGGCATGAAACGTCATCATTACGAGCTGGTCCAGCGAGGCCGCGACTCATCACCAGCTTTCGCTTCGCTGCTTGATACAAAAAAAATGCAAGCCGCGGTCACGGCTTGCATTGTTTCCCGCACTTAATTGTTTTATTCGGGGGAATTTTAATTCGTTGCACAGGCCAGAACACGAGGATTTTTTTGGATTTCACGCGCGCGCAGGCAGGCTAAATGTCATCAAAAAACGTCGAGCACGATCGCGGTACCGTGAATGGCGAGTGTCACTGGAACCGCGCCGCTCTGCTGCATGCAGCCAAGTACCGTGGAGCTGCGGAGCCGCAGTGGAACCCGGCCCTAACCAAACTTATAGCAATTTGAAAATGTTTGACAATTTTTCATAAAAAAACTTGACAACATTGTTCTTCTGTAGAGTGCCGCTGGCAACTCCATCGATGAACTCCATCAATGAGCGCAGGGATAAAGTTTAGAAACCCTTCTAGCGAGAACGTGTTTTCAAAAAGGAAGCACAAATATGCCGCGTAACTTCCCCTCTAGTATGGCCCCATCATATTTTGCACAATAGGGCACAGTAAATAATCAGCATGCATCGCAGTTTTCTGCAACATATTCCTGAAGTCACTTTGCACCTCAGAAGAATTGCGTAGCTGACTGGAATTCGATACCGGTTTAGTTTCTCTCTGGGTCATTATGAATCATAGAAAACCCGTCATACAATAGGTTCAAGCTAAAGTGTGATATCGGCGATATCAACAGTTCATGCACTCAAAGTCTCTCTCTCTAAACTACGATCACAATCAATGCTACGACACAGTCGCAGACTTTCACAGTTGAACTCGGGGTCGAGAGAGCCTAACTCTCGGGAACGTACTTCTCTTGGTCTGAATCACGGAAAGGCAAAGAATGATTGTGAACACTAGCAATTTATAGAGGAAGTTAGCTATCGGGGAGATCGATAAAACAGCGCAGCGGAGCAGGGAGAAGGATCGCTAGATCGAGATGGACAGCGTAGAGTACGGAATAGCTAGCCGGAGAACAGCGGGCTTTGCGGCAGAAAGATCGAGACTACGGGAAAAGACAGCGAGAACTAGCGGAAAGAATATCGAAGAGAAACAATGGAAACGTTATGTTTAGGTAGCGAATGAAGAAAGAGAAAGAGACGCCAGCGGTGTAACGGAATCCATAACTAATTGCTAAAGCAAGGGAGACAGTGTAGGAAAAGTGATATCTATTATTATGTGTGTGGACCAGACAGAGTGGCGGCAGGAGGAAGAATAAAATCTGTGAAGCATTCAGGCTATTGACTGTGGTGTGCAAAAAGCGTGTCTATCAGGCCGGCGTACAGGTTTCTATAGATGACAGGTCATGCATGCAAAGTGTCACGTGCTCCTACGCTACGGTGCGCCAATACTACACCACACCTTGTTTTCTTGAGAACACGCCCTCGTGTTCAAAGTGTACAGGTAGTAAACATGAAAGAAAAATGAAGCAGGGAAAACAATATAGATAAGGGTGTCTTACGATGACGTTTAAAATGATCTTACAATTTATGGTTGTCTATAGCGGTGAGGTCGCTGGAGTGCATTCCGAGGCCGGAGGTTATAGCGAGGCGGAGGGCCAGCCAGCGGTACGGGTAGGTCGTCATCGCAGGTCGGGTTAATCTGGGCCGTATACTGTGCAGGAGCGACTGGCACTTCAGGCGGCCGAATATACGGCTTGAGGCGGTTTACGTGGACCGTCAGCCGTTGGCCCTTGCTGGCGTCTTCGATGGTGGCAGTGACAGAGTCCAGCACCTTACGGACAACGAACGGGCCGGACCAGTAGCTGTGTAGTTTGGGCGACTTTCCTTTCGGGACGACGGGCGAGAAGACGGACACTTCAGCACCGACCTGGAGACGTGGCTTTGTGTGGACGGTGCCGTCATAACCCTTCTTCTGGCGACGGAGGGCGAGTGCATTCAACTGGCGGGCATTAGCAAAGGCTGTCTTAAGGGACGCTTCCAGTTGTTGGACATAGAGCGGGTAGTCCGGATGTGGGCGTGGAGGTGAACCGTACATGATGTCCAGAGGGAGCACCAGTTCTCGACCAAACATGAGACGGCTAGGAGTGTGCTGGGTGGAGGCATGCACGCAGGACCGGTACGCAAACATCGTCCGTTGCAGGTGTAAATCCCACTCCTGATGGTCGGTGACACAGGCGGAGAGCATCTTCTCAAGCGTACGATTGAAACGTTCTATCATGCCATCCGACTGTGGGTGATAGGCGGTTGTCCTGGTCTTGGTAATATCCAGCAGCTTACATACGGTCTGCATGAGTCGGGACTCGAATTGAGGGCCCTGGTCGGTATGGAGAGCGAGAGGTACACCGTAACGGCACACGAAGCCATCAACAAAGTAGCGGGCAACGGTGGAAGCGAGCATATCTGGCATGGCGAAAGCTTCCACCCACTTTGTGAAATAGTCGCCGATGACGAGGATGTACCGATTTTGGCGTGCCGTGGCGGGTAGCGGGCCCATGATGTCCATGGCAACACGCTGAAGCGGGAATGACGACTGTTGACTGCGGAGAGGAGCGGCAGGCTTTGGGACTGGGCCTTGGCGAGCTTGGCAAACTGGGCAGGCCCGAATAAACACTTCAATGTCCGAGGTCATTCCCGGCCAGTAGTAGCGCTGTCGAGCTTTGTCGGCCGTCTTCGTGATGCCGAGGTGAGCAGCAATAGCGTCAGTGTGGAGCGCAGTCAGGATGTCCTGGCGAATTGCAGATGGGACAATCAGCTGGTGAATTGGTTCGGCGGTCGTGTCATAGCGTCTGACGAGGAGGCCATCCTTGATCACTAGGCGGTCAATCTGTTGCCAGAGTTTGAGCAGAGATGGACTGGCGGTTTGAAGAGCAGGATCACCACGAAGCGGAGTGGTTGTCGACAGCCAGTTTAGCACGGCTGAAATGTCACGGTCAGCGGACTGGAGAGAGAGCATGTCGGGCGCCGCACCAGCAGCGCATTCCTGGGCAGTAACAACAGACACACAGACTGCGGGCAGACGAGAAAGAGCGTCTGCATTAGCATGTGTCGTACCAGGACGATGAACAATGTTATAATCAAAGATCGACAATCGCTCAATCCAGCGGGCAAGCATGCCATCAGGGGACTTGAAGGAGGCAAGCCAGACAAGAGCAGCATGATCGGCGCGGAGCGTGAATTTGGAACCCAGGAGATAATGCCGGAAAGATTCACAGAAATGAACTACTGCAAAGCACTCTCGATTGGTCGCAGTATAATTTTTCCGACTCTTGGACAGCGTAGCACTACCATATGCAATCACAACTTCACGACCCTGGTCATCTGCCTGAGAAAGAACCGCCCCGATTGCATAATCACTGGCATCGGTATCTAAGATAAATGCACGTGAAGAATCAGGATAGCCCAGGACAGGAGCAGAAAGGAGGCAAGACTTGAGCCTGTCAAAGGAAGACTGTGCCTCTGAAGACCAAACAAATGGCACATTCTTGTGAGTGAGACGGAGAAGAGGCTTAGCCACTGCAGAGAAATTCTGGATAAAGCGCCGATAATAGGAGACAAAACCCAAGAACTGTCTGACCTTAGTAGACGAATCAGGCGTTGGCCATTCACGAACGGCGGCGGTCTTCTGGCGATTGGGAGCAACACCCTCAGCACTGAACGTATGACCGAGGTACACGACTGAAGGCTGGAAAAGACGACACTTAGAAGGGCGGACCTTGAGGCCAGCCGACTTAAGACGCTCAAACACCGAACGAAGACGGGTCAGCTGAGTATTGAATGACTGGGCATGTACAATGATGTCATCAAGATAATCAAGGCATACATCGGGAATCAAACCCTGGAGCACAGTGGTCATGAGGCGTTGAAAAGTGGCAGGGGCATTGCAAAGACCAAATGGCATCACATTCCACTCATACAACCCAAATGGAGTAGCAAACGCAGCTTTAGCCTTGGACGAATTCTCCAGTTCAACCTGCCAGTAACCACTAGCCAGATCAAGTGTGGAAAAGAACCGTGCACCATTCATATGATCAATAGCGTCATCAACTCTGGGCATGGGGAAAGCATCTTTGCAGGTGACACCGTTCAACTTCCGATAATCAACACAAAGGCGGATACTATTATCAGGCTTACGTACAACGACGATGGGCGCGGCCCATGGACTGCTAGATGGGGTGATGATACCATCATCAAGGAGGCGGTCAACATGATCTCTGACTTCAGTCTGCTGATGAACTGGGAGCCGGCGAGGCGCCTGGCGAATAGGACGAGCGGTCCCAGTGTCGATGTTGTGTTGGACAACACCTGTGCGACCAACATCACCTGAATCTGTGGATATGCAACATGAAAACTCTTCCAACAACAGAGACACGGCAGAACGCTCAGAGTCACCCAAATGGGCCAGATCAAACAGAGAAGCAACAGAATCAACAGAGCTGTGGGTAGCATGAACAGGCAGGGCATCCGCCGGGGCAGATGACTCGGGATCAACAGAGCAAGGGCTAACAGTAGCTACCCAAGTGCCTTTCTTAAGAGTGACAGAGGCCTGGTGTGTACTAGCAGCACGGAGCGGAACAGGCTCAGCGAGGGGACCCGAAACAACACTGTAAGTAGCGGATATGTCAAACACCTCATGAAGGTCAGGGCGGGGCTCAAGAAGAAAGTCACCGGTGGGAAGTGGTGCATCACAAGCAACAGGAAGAATGACTTGGGAAAAGGGCTGAATGCAAATACTCTCCGTTAAGCGGACACGACAGTTAGCGGGGAAGGGAGGTGGGGTATTGTTATCAAGGCGACAGGCATTGTTTGAAGCAGGCACAGGCTCAAAGGTAAGTCGACGGTTACTAGTGTCCAAGATACAGGCATGCAAATCAAGGAAATCCAACCCTAGGACAAGTTCTGGCTGGATATCAGCAACAAGGACGTCATGACGGAATGCACGGCCACCAACAGTAACAGACACAGACAGCTTACCCAACACAGAGACAGGGGAGCCATTAACGGATTGAAGTCGTGGAAGGGAAGACTTGCTCAAGGATAGGTGATCCGGCAGCCGAGAATACAACTGCATACTGACCATGGATACCGCAGAACCTGTGTCAATAAGAGCTACAGCAGACACATCCTCTGCAGAGGCAGGTACAGAGAATGAGGAGGCAGCATTGACAGAGGTAACAGGCACAGGTGGTTGTACAGTCGGCAAGGAACACAAACCAGAAATCTCAGAGACAAGAGTAGAAAAGGGAAGGCGGAAGGCCTGAGGATTCGACCGGTACACACACCACAGAACGGGAGGACAACACAACAGCCAAGGAAACAAAATGCAGAAATGGATGCAACCCAGTGCAAACAGAGCGATGGCAACGAAGTCAAGAATATATACAAAATCACATCGGTCACTAACCGGAGCCCAAAAGGAGAAGACGGCTGGCGAACGTGGGCTCACCGTCGCAGCTGGCGCCAGTTTAACGGCTGGGAAGCCTGGCGTTGAGGAGCAGAGCGGCAGTCCCGGGCCAAATGACCGTCTCGCCCGCAGTTCCAGCACGATGTAGAAGGGCGAGGGCTGGGCGGCATGCGGCGGGGTGATGGCTCGTCACGCCGATGGTAGCCCGTGTCTCTGGTAGATCGGCGGGCAAGCTCCGTCTGGACAGACTGCAGTGCGGCCACGGTCTCCGCCAGGGCCTTCACTTGGTCGGCTAGAGCGTCCCTGGTGGAAGATGGCTGCGCGGAACACGCGGGCAACGTTGGCGGGCGCTCCTCCGGGGCAGTCTCCGCGCGTTGGATTGCCTGATGTTGCATCGCGGCCCGAAGGGCGTCGTCTAGCATGGCGGGGTTCAGCTCGCGGACCCGGATCCGCATGGCACGCGAATCCAGGCCCTGGACGAACTGGTCCTTTGCGAGGACATCCAAATCAGCAGGCTGCATGGCCGGGTAGGCAAGGCGTGCAGAGTGTCTTACGTTCTCGCAGAAGGAGCCCAGTGGTTGCTCCTTGGACTGGTGTGAGCCCTTGAAATTGGCGCGGTGTAGGTCCACGCGCTGGGCAGGCGCGAAACGGTCCTGGAGCGCCTGAATGAGAGCAGCGACTGGGCCCTGTCGGGTGGCCTGGGGCAGCGGCTGGTAATAAAGCTGAGCCTCGTCGTTCAATGATATTGCCATGAACTGACTCTGCTCGGCGGGCGTCCAGGCATTGATGGTAGCCACTTGCTGAAAATGGTTGAGCCACGTCGGCCAGCTGTCCGACAGCGAACCAGCAAATTTGTTTGGCATAATAGCGTGAGGAGGCACACGCGGGACGGCGGCAGGCGCAGCAGCAGCAGCACCAGCAGGAGCAGGTTGAGCCATGGTGACCAGAGCGCAGGTGGTGAACGAGATTCAGGACAAGAGGAACGAGGACCGCTAAGTGGACAGAGAAGCAAGCAAGTAGCGACCGAGACAGCAAGAGGACTAAAGAAGAAAGCACGTAGAGGACGAACCACCGCTGCCACCAGTGTGATATCGGCGATATCAACAGTTCATGCACTCAAAGTCTCTCTCTCTAAACTACGATCACAATCAATGCTACGACACAGTCGCAGACTTTCACAGTTGAACTCGGGGTCGAGAGAGCCTAACTCTCGGGAACGTACTTCTCTTGGTCTGAATCACGGAAAGGCAAAGAATGATTGTGAACACTAGCAATTTATAGAGGAAGTTAGCTATCGGGGAGATCGATAAAACAGCGCAGCGGAGCAGGGAGAAGGATCGCTAGATCGAGATGGACAGCGTAGAGTACGGAATAGCTAGCCGGAGAACAGCGGGCTTTGCGGCAGAAAGATCGAGACTACGGGAAAAGACAGCGAGAACTAGCGGAAAGAATATCGAAGAGAAACAATGGAAACGTTATGTTTAGGTAGCGAATGAAGAAAGAGAAAGAGACGCCAGCGGTGTAACGGAATCCATAACTAATTGCTAAAGCAAGGGAGACAGTGTAGGAAAAGTGATATCTATTATTATGTGTGTGGACCAGACAGAGTGGCGGCAGGAGGAAGAATAAAATCTGTGAAGCATTCAGGCTATTGACTGTGGTGTGCAAAAAGCGTGTCTATCAGGCCGGCGTACAGGTTTCTATAGATGACAGGTCATGCATGCAAAGTGTCACGTGCTCCTACGCTACGGTGCGCCAATACTACAAAAGTACCGTATCACCATGGTAATTCCTGGAAATTCGGTTTGTTTTCTGCCTTTTGTTGAACAAGCAGCAATGTGCAACAGAAATTACCATGGTGATACAGTAGATGACCGTGTGAAGCGGTGTGAGATGCAGCAAAGGTGAGCCTGTTACTGTGAGTCTATGCCCTAAACAATAAACTTTGCCGTGGGATGATTCTCCTTGGGCTGCACACTCTGCACACTTATTGCTAGGTATATCATTGGTCTTGTTCGGATCGTCCATTACGTTTGCAGCTGTTCAAACTTGTTTTGTTGTTTATTATTTTATTGATTTATTTATTCTACTTGCCTTTCCTATCTTCTTTTGTTTTAGCATTAGGCGATTTGATCGCAGGACAAGAGAGGAGCTGATGGACGATCTCTCCAGTGTCCCTCTTGGTTCGGAGCAGCGCCGAGTGCTGACGTTGGGACTTGGGTAAGGATGAGTGTTCCCTCATGTTTACAAGTTATCCGTTTTGTCCAACACTAACAGTTATATGCAGAATGCTGCTGAGTCAAAAATGTGCAACAATTAGCACAAAAACTGACTGATGAGATCCTGACATTCAACGACCTGATGCTTAGCTGCATCACGTTTATATCCGTTAGTGTTGGACAAAACGGATAACTCGTAAACTGATGGTCCTCTTTTTCAATTTTAATCCTTGGCTCTCCATCCGAGTTCCCTTGTGTGTGTAGCTATTATTATTTTTTTGGTGACAGTCAATTTTTTCTTCAGACTTTTCCCGTTTGTGTCTTTCCCTCAAATTACCGTACTGGCAATATTATGTTGCCGCGTAACGCGTAACCCAGGGGGGTGCGGCGTAACGCGCGACCAGGCTAGTGCGACAAATTTTCGTTGCGTTCGTAACGCGCGTCCGGCGGGGTGCGGCGATCTTTTCATTGCAAAAAAGGCTGAAAACTGTGAAAGCACGTGTACCGCGTGGTGAAAAGTTCAAAACTGGACGCAGCAGGAAGTCCTGCAATAGCAAAAAAAGGACTGCGGCAATATAGGAACCTGTGTAACGGCTCCTGTGCGACTTTGCATGTAACGCCCTGTGTGCGGTAAACATGTGCCAATGTAACGCTTCATGGCCTCACTGCGACCATATATATTGCCAGTACGGTAGTCAATATTTTTATTTGCTTATTTTTTTGCCCAGGGTCTACATTCTACCTTTATTTTACTTAGACTAGGGTTAGCTGTCCGTTTACCAGTACTCATCCACATATATGTGCACATAGGGTCTACACAGAACTCTATCAGTAGATATTTTGTGTATAGGGGGTTGTCTATCCACTGAGATAGCACTATATACTCCCATTCTGTGTGTTCTCTGGTAGCTATGTCCCTTGGAGACTATACGGTGCCAGTGTGGTTACCGAGGTCAGGCCGTGTCTGCACTGGCATCGTCAACTTTGCCTACTGCTACGTGCTCCCCAGTGCTCCATCTGTGTCCTGTAATTTGTTTGGGGAGGGGGGTGGGGGCAATACCGGTACTTCAGGTGCAGGGGGCAAGGGGACATCATGCCCCCAATGAACCTCTCCAGGCGTTGTTCTGGAGTAGACTAACCATAGGCGGAGTGTACACATGCAGCACATAGTTAGGGAGCTAGAACGCGGTCGGACTCAGGCATATTCAAAGGCAGTCTATTGTGATAGTAGTCCTGGACTGATCTCACTATGATGATATAGGTCGTGCCCAGCATCACAATGGCAAACATTATAAATGACTGTTTTTTTTGCCTGAGGGGCTAGATGAGCATGCGGCTAGACTGCCGATGGCAACCAACAGGCTCAAGGCTGTGTTGAGACTTCGTGTGAGCGACCCGAGTCAATTGTTTACTCACCATGACTAGGCATCGCATTGAGCATCGTATGCCCACTAATATATGTCACTGTTCTTAGTCGCACCGGGGGCGCATGTCCGTTTTCAGGAGACTTCTCAAAACACATAAGCCCTGGGTCCTGAAGGTTAGGCCTATTGTTAATCTTAATAGTCCTGGCTACTATCCCGCTGAGTTCACTGACTTTCTACTGAACCCGTATGTATATGAGGAAAGTACTGTTCTGACCTCAACTGCGGATTTCATCAACTTGGTAGAAGGTTTGCCTGTGCGGGACGATCATTTATATTTGAGTATAGATGTGACCAGCCTTTACTACACCAACATCCCCAACGAGCTCGGTTGTTGTGGTATATCACACACAGGTGTACAAGGTGGATGCCCCTCGCCCTTCGTACATGGTTATTAACAGCAGTGACTTCCTTGATGTCAGTCATTCGGAAGAAAAATGAGTTCGTGTATGGTAACGATGTGTTTCGGCAGATCCAAGGGACTGCCATGGGTTCGCCTGCAGCAGTGGTCTATGCCGACATTGTTATGCTGTATTTGGAGAAGCGGTACGTTTTGCCGATCTTAGAGGGGGAGGGTTTAGAGGTTCAGGTTTATAGACGCTTTATCATTGCATGGTTGCGAAGGTCAAGTTCAGCGCACTTTAGATAGGATTAATAAGTGTTCGGCCCTCAAGTTTTCTCATGAACTGGCACATGATGGCATTGATTTCCTGGACACCACAGTTTTCCGTAGTAAGGGATACATGTCGGTGAAGCCTCATTTCAAGTTCACCAATCGTTTCCTGTATCTGCTTGTCGGTAGTAACCACCCCTGTAGTATGGGTAAAGGTGTGTTCACTGGGGAGTTGATCCGTATCCGTCGGTCTTCGACCCTTGACCACCACTACGAAGCTGCTGCCGAGCGGCCGAAGCAGGCTTTCCGGGCCCGTGTATACAAGCGCTCCATCTTTCATCTTTCAGACCCGTACACTAGGAATGGATGCGCAGGGAAGGTATGTTGGTCAAATTGGCATGGGTTTGGGTTATTTCTGTAGTTGTATACAGTGCTCCTCCCGGCCTGCTGTCCTTCGCCCGTTGGTCTTGAGGTCCAGGTGTAATACCCCTAGCATACAGTCCGGTGGCCAGCGCGGTTGTTGTTACACGGTGGAACATCGGCAAGAGGTTGCTTGCTCGTTTGCCCCATGCTCAGTGTCCTCAGGGAGTTAGTATTTTCCTCCTGTTTGGATTTTGCAGTGTCTATGGTGTCGGTAATTGAGTTTTTGTTCTCTATGCTTTTCTGTGGTGTGTGGCCGTTGTTCACACATCTTTATTTGACTTGCTTCCTGGTGTGGTGTACCTTTTTGTTTTATATTGGTGTTGGTCCGGCTGTAGAGTTCTAGCATCCGTAGCTGCCTCAGGGGTGCCACTTCTCCCATCAGCGTCGACTAGTCCGCCGGTACGTGGTGCTATATTACGTTTAGTTGTCTGTTCCATCCTGTACGGGCTGTGTCCTGCTGACCACACAGTCTGGGTCTCCATACTTTGCATGTTCTCATCGTGTGTAGTGTTCACACGTACATATATGGACTGTCACACCCATATGTTGTACATGTGGCTGCACGTGTTGTCTCTTTGTCGTACCTGCTGCTGTATTTGTGTCTCTGTGCTGCTGACCCGTACATGCTGCTGCGCTGCATTGTTGTATTGCTGACACGTGCACCTTTTTGTGCTGATATGATATCGAGTACGCCACTTTTTGTGCTGATGAGGGCACCACTTTCCGATATCATGTTTCCTTTCGCCATGTCGGTTGTCAGTTCTCCCGTCGTCTCCTGAAGTGTAGTAATGAATAGCTCTCTCTCTAGCTCTAGAGAAAAACCACTTGACTAGTCCGTTTGATGTGTGGCGTGGCGAGGGTATAGTAGAGACAGCTCGTTTTCCAACCGAGACGACATTTGGCGCCCAACGTGGGGCTCAAACCCACGACCCTGAGATTAAGAGTTTCATGCTCTACCGACACATATATGCACGCGGCACCGTTTGTGCTCCTATCCATTTACATATGCTGCTTTCCACACCTGTGCTGACAGCCGGTACGCACCGACTCTGTACGCATGCACGCACAGTCGCACACCATTACATTCTGTTGGCATCATATTAGTGAGGTTTGCATTCCGAAACTCGACAAAAGATTCGGCACGCGGGAGCGAGGTCGAAAATGCACACGAAGATGCGGCATGTTTGTTCGGAAAAAGCTCCCTTTGCCGAACATATTTTTCGGATGAATTTTCTTGTGGAAGAGCGCTAGCGCGTGATTTATTCAAAGAAGTTTCTTATCTTGGCATGGCTTTGCAGGCGTCTTTGACGACATCAGCATCGTCAGCTGCCTCTGATTGCTCCTCTCCACTGCCTGTCTACTCTCTTTTGCCTGGAGTGTCCTCACCGTCATCTGTGTGGCTGAAAAGACTATGGCGATACCCATAAAATTTGACTTGGCCATGGAGTTGGTTTTTCTGAGGCGACTCAGGAGGCAGGTTTGGCCCTCGACTCTTTGGGCGCGATCAAAGTTTGTCGGAATCAGCAAGAAAAGGAGCACGGGACAGGACGTTGCTGATGCTGGGGCTCACGAAATCAAAACACATCATTTTCGACTTGCAAAACAAACGTCGATGCGAAAATTCGACATTTTGATGTTCGACAAATGACCAAAGAACGCCGAGCCGAAATTCGGAATGCAAAACCTCACTATTGCGGAGCTTTCCGGAGCTCCGAGTTAGTTGTTGTTTGGAATGCAGCAAGAGAACAACATTACATTGGCGCTGCGAGCAAACGCCTAATCCTCGCCATGTCCCTACTGTCACTACCGCCTCCGGAGCCATTCCCGATCTACAGCAGTCTATACGACGCTGCTGCCCATTTTCCTGCCTGGGAACGGTGTTTCCAACTCTATGTCGCAGCAGCCGGCATCTCGGATGACACTCGCCAGAGAGACACTTTCCAGAATGTGGCCGGCAAGGACATCCAGCCGCTCGTCCCTACGTTAGCCAACAATGGCAACGATCTCGACGGCCTCATAACCGCCGCCGCCGACTACTGTCAGTCGAAGCAGAGCCCCAGCATGACCCGCTTCCACTTCCGGCAGGTCACCCAGCAGCCTGGCGAAACGTTAGACACGTTTTATACTCGTTTGCTGGCATCGGCAACGACCTGCAGCTTTGCCGACGATGCCCAGAAGAACGTGGCTCTCTGTAATCAAATTGTGGCAGGATGCACGTCCGATCCACTCCGCAGAAAATTGCTGGAGACTGAGTCCCTTGATCTCGCCAAGGCGCTCAAGGCCGCCAGAGCATTTGAAGCGTCAGTGGAACAGACGACGGCGTTCCGGCGCACACAAGACTCGATCAATGCCCTCCGTCATCAGCCACCGTTCTACAAAAGGACACAGCCGCCTCCTGCTACTGTTTCAACTCCGTCGCGTCGACCGATGCGGTCTTCGCCACATCCAGCTGCAAACTCGTACCACCAGCCACCTGCCCCAGTCGCCACTCGCGCTCCAGGCCAGCGGGAATCCAGCACATCGCTCTGCTACCGCTGTGGAGAGCCAGGCCACCCTGAGTCACGTCGCTACGCAGGTTTGCACTGTAAACGTCTGCCCATGGGCGTATCGTCCGCATCCGAGATCCGACAGCGCACACTGGACACCATGGCTCGCTGGCCTCGACGGTGTGAAGAACGTCCACGACAACATCTTCAACTTTGGTAAGAGCGTCGAAGAGCACAACCGACGACTCGCCGCCTGCCTCCAGCGGCTCCAAGATCACAACGTTACACTCAACCAAGCCAAATGTCACAAATGTCACATCCTCAAGCCTCGGCTCGAGTTCATGGCTAGCGTCTACTCCGACAAGGGAATCCGCGCCTCTCCCAGCCACCAGCAGTCTGTGGCTACATTCTCTACGCCATCTTGCGTCAGCGACATACAGAGTTTCCTGGGTCTCACCAACTTCCTCCGCCGTTACATTCGTAACATGGCCGATCTCACCACGCCACTCCCTGCTCTCACTAAGAAAGGTACTGTTTGGCGTTGAACTGATGTTGAGCAGCAATCATTTGATGCACTGAAGAAGGCCATCGCCGAAGACTGCATGCTGCAATACTTTGACCGCAAGCGATACACATCACTGTATGTCGACGCATCGCCCACCGGCCTCGGCGCAATCCTGTGTCAACGCCAAGACAACGGCCACGATGCACCTGTAGCATTCGCCAGCCGTGCACTCTCCGGCGTCGAGCAGCAATATTCTCAAACTGAACAGGAAGCATTGGGTGTCAAGTTTGGCTGCCTTCGCTTTCACCACTACTTGACAAGGTGATCCACAGTTCACCGTTGTCACCGACCACAAGCCGCTCCTGCAACTCATGGCCGTCGGATCGAGACTTCCGCCATGAATTGAGCGCATGGTCCTCCGCCTGCAGGATCTCAGCTTCCAGCTCCCGTACAAGCCTGGCCCAGAAAACCCGGCCGACGTCGTCAGTCGCAATCCGCAGCCTCATCCCGACTTGCCAAACATCGGCGCACAGGAAGACACTGCGTACATACATGCCCTAGCTACAGCAGCTAAGCCTAATGCGTTGGCTCTGAAGGAGATTGCGGGCGCCACCACCGCAGACACCACACTGCAAGCCATCCTTTCCTCTCTGCAATCTGGCTGCTGGGATTCCAACCACACCACGGTCCGCCCGTACTTTGCCCTCCGCCATGAACTGTCTGAGAGTGACGGTCTACTACTCCGCAACGACCGTCTCGTCATTCCCACGGCCCTCCAACGGCTTACCCTGCAGCTTACACATGCGGGCCACCAAGATATTGTCCGCACCAAGCAACGGCTCAACAGCAAGGTTTGGTGGCCCAACATGGCTACTGAAGCCGAAGCACTCTGCCGGCAATGTATTCCGTGCCAAGCAACTCTCTCAACGACACCGCTACGTCCGGGAGTTCGTGCCCACACCACCGTCCACCAAGCCGTGGCAACGAGTCTTCGTCGATTTGTATGGACCCATGCCAAACGGTCAGCACCTGCTTGCCACTATCGACCAGTTGACTCGCTACCCGGTCATCAACGTGTTCAGCACGACACCCACTACGGCCGGTGTTGTTAAAGCTCTGCGCTCTACATTATCCATGTTCGGCTTGCCCGAAGAGCTAGTCTCGGACAACGGTCCTCAGTTCCGTTCTTCGGCTTTTGCTGATTTCCTCGCGCAACACGCTATCCAGCACTGCCACACCCCTCCTTTGTGGCCACAAGCAAACGGAGCAGTCGAGTGCCTCAACCGTACCATTGGCAAAGTTCTGCGAACTGCCAAACTAGCTGGCGAAGACATCAATGTTGCATTAGACCAATGGCTCCTAGCGTACCGCACCACGCCACACCCTGCCACTCACGAGGCACCGGCAACACTCATGTTTGGTCGCCCCATCCGCGACAGCATACCCTGCATTACGGCAGCCGCACCAGACTTGCCTTCAGCCGCCCACCGTGACCAGCAATTCCGCCAATCGCAGTGCGACGCTGCCAATGCCACCCGCCGGTCAAACGCCCCCATCCTCACTCCTGGTCAGCGCGTCTTACGCCGCAATGAGCAGGCACACAAGCTCTTACCACAGTGGGATCCCAACCCCTGGACCGTGGACCAGATCTCTGGGTCTACGGTGACGATCTCCAACTCAGCAACTGGCCAAAGATCGACTCGCCATAATTATGTCGTTCGTCAAGTCCGTAATTGTTGTCACACCGTCAGCCCATCACCCACTACCAGCTGAAAGTTCTGCCACCAAACCTTACAAAATTACAACAAAATCACATGCAAGAAGTCCTTTCACTTTGACTACTGCTCATTGCGTGACATCACTCCTCACCAAAGGACTTCCTGGGGATCACAATCCTAAACAGACAAATGTACGAATACCGCAACTGACTCTGTTGTTCTGCACGCCACGATCAACACGACTGCGTGCAAGACACAGCTGATCATCGTCGCTGTACTCTTCCCTGAGCACGTTACCCTGTCGCTGCAGCCTGCGACGGACATTCCATAGTTCCACCAACTTGATGGCTTGATGTTCCCATTGACGTCGACCATGCGGTGTTGCCATTGACGACCTTCAACAGACTTAGTGGTCAAACGAATGCTGAGAAGCTTCGAACGTTCGTTCTCGAGTCGACATTCGAATGTCAACTTGACCGCCCAAACGAATATCGTAACTCACAAAACTGTGAACTCTGCACTTGTAGCAGCGATTTTCATGCATGCAAGCACGTAGACCCAGGTGCTCGAAGTCCGTACACGTTTACAGTGTGTGTTTGCCGAGCTGAAACTCACACTAGCAATGATCACTTGCCAGAATCCTGCTCGTGGATGGAAGGTATCTTGTCCAAGTTTGTTTTGAGGCCAGGCTCGATTGAACCAGGCCATCTTTCGATCCGATCTGTTTCTCTGGAGTTCGCTGATTTTTCATATCAAATTTTGGTGTCGCAGAGGGTACTCTAAGTCCGTACTGATCAGAGGTGACTCGAAATACACACATATTTCTGCTAATTGCTAACTTGCAATCCCTCGGTTACGACGAAAGCACCGAAGGGATATGTTTGGCATGTGCCTCCACCGGTATTTCTTGCAAAAGCGTAGCTTGTTGCCGAAATGCAAGCTGTTTTTAGTCGGCTCAGAGAAGAAGCAGCTGCGCTGTGAAAACCGCGGGAAAACAGTGGTGGAGATGCCAGGAGTGTCAACCTTTCTGCAAGGATTGGTGGTTCTCTGTAAATTCTTCTCCTCTGGCCATTGTCAGCTCTAAGCTGGCTCTTGATGATTGAGTGAAGGTCTGTTTGACGCTGTGTCCGTTCGAAATCGGTCTTGACAAAGTTGATTTTTGCATGAAATGTAACCCAATTTGTATTTCGTATGGACACTCGAAAACCCACTCCCGTGGTATGGGACTTCTGCTAATCGTAGATCCCTGAAAATTGGTACGCGAGGAGAACATACCACACTGTCCCCTCCATAAAATATTTGAGTCGAATACAATAACAGAACATGAAATTATGGGCGTACGAACTTAGGATACCATGTACGGACTTCGAGCACCTGGGTCTACACACGTCTACTTTTGAAGCCGTGCCGCGCTGTCTTCATGACCAGAGACTATGGTAGGTCTAGTCTGCGCAGTGAACTCTAGTCTTATCTGGGTTGAACGTCGTTGCATGCATGCGTGCACCGCGCCCGGCTGTGAAACTGGAAGTGCAGTGCCACAGGCGATTTTAGTCGTGACAACACTCGACGGTCTGTCTGAAATAATAACTATTGCTGAGAGCCGTCGTTGAGTCTTTCTTCATCAAATCCACCCAACGTTCGTCATGGCCGAGAAGAGTAGGCGCTCTGCCGTATGGGATTTTGGAATAGAGATAACGGCTGACAATATTATCTATATTCTCACGACAATATTGCTACGTGTACTCGGTGCAAGCCGCCGAAAGACTTGGCAGATCATGGCGGAACAACGAATTTACGTAACCATCTGAAGGACGTTCACCATGTCGACTTGGATGGCGCAGGGGCGATACCGAAAAAGGACGGAGGGATAACTGCCTTCTTCAAGGCAAAGAAAGTGCCAGCGGCTAGATCCTCTGAGGCTCTGGATGCGACGACCGATAGGTGGAATTTGTGTGCAGAGATCTTCGGCCTGTGAGCGTAGTCACTGGTGCGGGGGTTCCTTTCGCTCATGAACTACCCCGAGCCTGGCTACCTGCGACTCAAGTGACAAAGCTAATTCAGCGGAAGCACGTCGCGGGCCTGAAGTTGCTGGTGCAGTAGTTAGGTGGAGAACCTTGAAAAGGCCAGCTCCATGACGCTGACTACAGACCTGTGGACAAGCAGACGAACGGAGGGGTACATTACCATCACTGTCCACTTCATAAATGAGTCATGACATCTACAGTCTCTGTTGCAGACTTGCAGTGTGCAACTTCACTTATGATTTGGGTGCCTTTTACAAAAGTTTTAGTGTTACATACTGGTTGGTAGCTATAATTTCTTACTGATTTCTTAATCATGGAACGGGCGACATTCGTTCGGTATTCGTTAGGAACATTCAGAGAAGGTTCGATTCGCTGTTTAGCACATTCGTTTGACCACTACAGTTCAACTTCAGGTCCTTGCCGTGGTCCGCACCATTCAAGAGATGGGCCACATTTGGTGTACTTTCACCAAGTTGGTCACTTATTTTAACCTTGCCGACTTTCCACTGCCGGACTGTTGCTTCAACAACTGGCGGAGAGCACATACGCATATCATCACTCTTCCTTGCAAACATCATTTCCGTCTCCACCACGTCCTTATCAGCCTGATCCATGGCTGACACCCCCAAGGCACTGTCCACTGTGCCGCCGGGCTGGTGGAGCGACGGACCGATTCTCCAGTGACGGTCGTCGTCCACAAGGCTGTTGGAGTGCGCATCCAAGATGTGCTAGAGCTGTTCAGTGTCGTGCAATGCTATCGCATGAGCTGATTGTTTAGTAACTGGCGGTGTTAGTGGACAGTATAGCGTAACTTGTAGTTCCTTGGTCTTTCTCTTTTGTATAAACAAACTAGTAAGCTAACGATAAACTAGTTACACTGAGACAATTCGACTGGCACAAATTACAACAAAATCACATGCAAAAAGTCCTTTCACTTTTACTACTGCTCGTTGTGTGACAACCACCATCATCAGTGTGCGCATTGCGCCTGGTTTGGTGCATGCCTGGTGGAATATGACATAGCGGCTGATGCAGTGGGCACGTCAGGTAACACCTAACGCATTGAAAATGACTCAACTATGACTTGGTTCGATTGTAGCAAACCTAATGATAGTGGTACCGAAACATTCGGGTAACCGGAGTAAGTGTCAATTGATATTTTTGGCTCCAGTCAGTTAAGTGATTCAATTGCAATACAATTATATACGTACGGTGGAACTCACTTAGTACGTACCCAGGTAAGACATACACCTGCATAACACGGTCCTCTTTTGTCGCACGGATTTTCCTCCCATAAGCGCATATTCAGATGTGTACGGATACGACTGCTTCCTTCTGTTCATGTGATTCATTGTCGCTGTGTTACTGTATGCAGATCTCACTCAGCTCTGCTCTCCGAGCATTCTGCTTCCAACACGACTTCCCGAAAGGTATGTATGGTGGCTAATAAATAATTAGGGCTGAAACAATTATACCGATAACTCGCGTATCGATCGTTAAGAGTGCAATCGATAATCGTTAGTGTTCAAAACGAGTGCTAACAATTTTTTATGCATGTATATGAGTGACAGTATTCCAGCCCTTGCACTCCATCCGATAGTGAATACGAGTACAATCATGTACTTTCAAGCGCAGTAAAATTGATTTGTGGCTTTGAAAGAGATCGGAAGAGAGCACTCTTTGTCTTTTCAGTTCATTTGCGGGAAAGGTCAGAGATAAGAGCAGTTGCTGGAGGGTAATGACAAGATTCTTCACTCTAGAAACAACATGAAATTCTCTAGGTCATGTTCATAAACCAGTCAGATGTCTACAGATGTCAACAGTGCGGTGCCACAAATTTCTAACGTAGCAAAAGTATCGTGGAACTTTTTCATAAACTGGTGTTCGAGGTACACGGGTAGAGCCGACAAGAATCGATAAAACCAATATATCGATCGTTAATGATATTGGTTGATCGTTAAGAGTTATTGAATGATCGTTTCAGCCCTACTAATAATGCGAGAGTCTTTACAGATTCCAGTGCTCTCATGCCTTTTGCAAGTTCCGTTTGTAAGTCAAATGGAACATGGTTTGTGGTCAATACTTCAGCAGTAGTGGTGCGAGAATATTCGGGTGTCAAATTGCTCGGAATTGATGTATGATAACGGAGAATATACCAACATGTGAATCACTTGGAGATATGGTTTGCCAGGTTCTGTTCACACTCACTAGGCTAGACCCTCTCGAATATTGTACAACAGTTTTGGCCCAGGAGTGGTAAAGGGCACGGGGAAAGCTATGTCGGGACCTGCTGTAAAGTCTGCCATACACGAGCTGTACGTCTTATCGGATGGGATATACCCCTGATATTGCTGATAATGAATGGCCCAGTTTCATTGTACTGCTGTCCGCGATATTATATCGTTAGTGGCATTGTTAACTTCTCATTGCTTGTGGGGACGCATGGATCATACGTCCATCCAACACCTGCCAATCGGAACCCACCGACAACGCTGTCGGTTGGGTTGGACCACAATCGGTTGGTTTTTGAGTCCAAGATGCCGCCTAGGTAGCACACAGCATTGCTAATCTGATTTTAAATTAGCTGCGCAAATCCTGGCATACTGCCCGTAAATGCATCTAACTCCCAGGGTACTTATGAGTTTTTAGGTCTATGTGGTACTTGTGTCGCATTGGCAGCCACTGTTCCGTTCTGTATTTTCTGGTGTATGTGTCGTTGAATCTCCACAGAAAATGTGCTAGCGCATTAGAAGGAGGTGACAGATGCGCCTGCAGGAGAATACATGCTTAAGAGAAGGCAGAAACATGCCCGGATCCACCAGAACTAGTGCTGGCAAGTCAACAGAGGCGAGTACTGATAATGTTCCAGATTGTGGTAGGATCACATAAGCAAAATTGACACTGGGAGGCACGGCGGTGGGTCAGCTCATGGCCAGCGCCAGCTCCAGTGGATATCACGTGCATCCAGTTCTAGTACTATAGTATGACTGCTACAAAGTAGTGCGGCCCAAATAGAACTCGGGTCAGGTGCCGAAGAACGGGGGGGGGGGGCATGTGTCAATGAATGGTAATAACTCCGGAAATCATGCTGGTGTATCGACGGCGTGGGCCAATGAAGTGCTGGATTGATGGTGGACGACTGTACTGCAATCTTGGCTGGTCCCACTATCGCAGAGACAGCACTTCCTGGTGCAACCACCCTATCCTGCAATCTATATAATAATTATTATAAGAGATTTGTGTGAACGATTTTAGCATGATGCAAGTCAGCTTATTGTGCTGGGGGCCTGGCTACATGTCACTATAGCATTTTATAGACTCGATCACCGCATTACGCTGCCTTGCGTTGACTTGATTGAGCACTCTTTTTGGTTAGTGTCAAAGGTATATGTAATATGTATCTGCCTTCGTGCAAAGCTCTCTTTGTGCGTGTCTTGCAGATCGCTGACTTTGATGCTGTGAGCCATTTTCAAATTGCTTTTTTTGTTCATTTCATATAGACCGTATTGCCATTTGTTTAACCTCCCGCTCTGAGCTCCACTGATGGGACCTAAAAAGGCTGAAACAGCTGTCTGGAGATTGAGCGTCAGTATTATGGATTTAGAATACACGATCTGGGGACAGCACTAGTACTGTCTAGCTGTTTCGTCCTTTGTGGACTCATCAGCAAATCACGGAGAAATAACTCTTAACTAAGGATGAACCTAGCAGCCATGAAAATAGATAAATAATGCCTCCAAGCCAGAATTCAAGGCTACATGTGTAGGCCTGAATGTGTCTTGCCCGAGTGCTGAAACTGATACGTCATTGAGATACGCATAGAACATCTGGCAAAGGAACTACTAAAGCCCCCACAAGCACGGTATTCTACTTCAACAAGGAAGACTTTTGAAACTGCATACACAGCCCTGCATGTATAATGTTGGTATAGGTAAGCCTTGTTTGTTAATTAACATGACAAGGCGGGGGACGCACTGTGTTAAAAAACAGTGCTCCTGATACACTAGTGTGTCCTCGGCTTTGTGACATGCTGTCAACCGATCAACACATACAACGTTGCTTGCAGAACGGCTGCAGCCTCGAAGTACGGAGTGCTATTTTGGAAAATGCTAGATATACAGCCTGTACTTATACAGGTGTTCTATCAACTAGTGCCATTATGACAACGGTAGCTGAATGATACATGTACATAAACCCGGGGTCATCATTGCAAGAACCTCTGGGTCTAAGCCCGAAGTAACATTCAACTACATGACTGTATACACCATCATGTATACGCCATCTTCGTAGTAACTGAGTCTACCCCTCACCCACTACTGCCACTGTGACCACAATTGCGCACAAACAGAGGACCTTAGAGGACCTACTTCTAACTACAGTGCTGGCCAAATAAATCACACCTTATGAATAAAATTGCACCGGGCGCTACGCAGCCCTAGTAGTAAACATACTGGACCGGTCTGTGCTCTCGAACGCGGCGCTACTTTATTAACGAGGTTGGATTTCTCTGGCCAGCACTGTACAAAATACACACATGCACACACAACACTGCTAGGCTTTCCACCACCACACTAGGTTTTGAAACCGAAGAGTGGCAAAATTCAGGGCCAGACTAGAAAATCTGGGGAGACCTGATGGTTTTTTAAAGCAAACACAGCCAACACTCTGCAGCCTCACAGCCTCAGGCAGGTTTTCCCGAGTGCACAAAATTAAAAGTTGTTGAGGCACCACGAATACAGTCGGGCGTCACAGAAGGTGGGACCCAGGAATGTACGTGTATACCTCTAGGAACACCACAGCCAATAACGTTTTAAAAAGAAACGCAGTGTCAATAGACTCAAGTCTCTGCTTTTCTGGAATACAGATTCTGCTACACACGTATTGCTCACTATCCAGTGGGATGTGCATCTAAGAAAGTGGTACAAGAAGTCAAGGAACTAAGCCTAAGGCCAGATTGCTGAAAGGTTTTGTATAACTGACCAGCCTGACCCCTTGGAAACAACAGCCGTGGATGCGTGGCTCTACTGTAATAAATGTACAGGTACACAAACAATTTGAATGCAGAAATAACAACAACAAACAGGGAGAGGTGTAGGAAAATATACTCGGCCCCTAGTGAATTTGCTTGTGTATTAGCTTGAAAACTTTGGGTAGACTTGTTGAGAGACCTAACTGCATGCAGCTAAAATATGGAGTGCCGTTGTCACCGACGACTTTTCCAGTAAAGTTGCGGCTAACATCTTCTCAGGTATTCCCGGGTCTTCGCTAAGGCCGTAAGGGTGAATGATATCATGTGCGTCTTCTATTGCTGATGTCGCTACTCTCGATGGTGGTGCTGATGTACTGATTGTGGTGGAAGATATTGAGATGCCGTATGTCTCGAACCTTTTCGCCAAGTCTCCGCGGCCATCGCGCAAGAGGGTCGGGAGCACCACAACTGCAACGCCACAGGTCCAAGGATCGATTCTCGGACAAAACATTCTTCAGATTGCCAAAGGTCCCCAGTGCTTGGCAATACTGGCCTGTACAGCATGAACACACCACACATACGCCCACACACCATGTACCATGTAAACGCCCGTTGCAGGAGAAGCACGCAAATCTGCAAATGAATTGGATGTGCACCCACAGATTTTCTCGTATAGGAACAATAGCTGATCTGAATCTGAATAAAACAGATCAAGACTAGTGCCAGATAGCAGTCTAATCCGCACAAGGCAACTGGCGCAGCCATGTGAATCTCGAGCAAAATGGACAAACATGTCCCCAATTATCAGCAAACCGGTGTGCGTTACAGGATTGGCCTGGCAACTTCAAACAGGCACAATCCACTAACGTGGTGCCCCGTCAACTTCAACGGGAACACACCGATACAAACACAGCCCCACAACAGCAAAACGGGAACGCCGTTACAAATATGGTGCCCTGGCAACTTAACGGGAACGCACCAACACAAGCTGGCCTGGCACCTTCAAACAGGCACAACTGACAAAACACGGCATCCGGCAATAGCAAATGGGTAGGTACACCGTTACAAGAACAGTCCATCGCACCAAAATCCTGCTGCCACAACATTATAGCAGCAGCACGCCAGACATGCATACATGGCATTCCCAAAAGCAGATACCTGGAGTCAAATTCATCCATCACACTGTTTGTTAGGGCTGAATTTTACAGTGACAATAGCAAATCCCACCTAAGGCACATGTGATGAGATCTGTACACCAACTATAGTCACAGAATCAATGCACATTAGTAGAGCATAAGAACTCACTTGCGCTCATACCTTGTCACGTAGAGACGCTACTCTACGTGTACTGTTCCAATGTCCATTGGGGTGGTATGCCGGCCACTTGCCAGATGTAGAGCTTTTAAGCCGTACTTTGCCACCGTCTGCTTGCCGTATCACCACCTCACTTGCAACTCTGGATTCCAGGACTGTCGCTCCAACAATGGGCATGGAGCGGGAGCTAACCTGATAACAGTTGAGAGCGTGACAGAGTATCTTATTTAAATAAGGCCGAGTAAGGTGGATCCCTTTGGCAAAAGTGAACACAGGCTTGGTGCTACAGGCATGGGCTGTCATGTACCGGAATAGCCAATACCGGGCATGTTTCGTCGACAGTAGATGGAACTGCGACGGCTCCACCGTATATGGCCGCGTCCTAGTGACCTTCAGGCGCAAAGTGACCAAGTCAGGTGCGAGACTCCCAGCCTCCCACACAAATACTCTTTGGCTGTCAAACGAGTGAATACTAGTAGATGATGCCAAATACTCGCTGGCAAACAATAAGCCATACAAGGCCAGTAGTATACTTACCCACAGCATAGCCTGATCTACAATATGACTGATTGGATCGTTGTAAGTATTGCCGAAAATGGATTAAGTCGTCCACTAAAAGCTCTTTGAAACTCGGATGTTGAGCCAATATGGCAATAATAAAATTAATGTAGAAAGGAAAAGGACGTATGAATATGAGTGTAGAGTAACTGTCACTATATGCTAAATACAGTCAGAAAGTGCAACAACCAGGCACTAAAACATTTGACGACCCGACTCCTGGCTTCAACACATCTCCGTAGTGTTAAGGAGAGACCAAAGAGGGAAAGGTAATACTGGTTTCGTCATCGTCCAGTAACAATCAACATTTCTTGTTCTTGTGGGACAGTAGCTTCAATTACTAGCTTGTGCTCATTTTCGTTGCGCTTACCTTCCCCTCTTTGGTCTCTCCTTTTAACCTTGAACCTTCCAAGTTGGAAGGCTGTTGGTTAGCGCTACGGAGATGTGTTGAAGCTAGGAGTCAGGTCGTCGAATGTCTCAGCACTCTGTCAGTTTTGTGCCTAGTTGTTGCATTTTTTTACTGTAGTAGCTAGTTACAGTGGTGGACAGTTACTCATAACTCGTATCCATATGTCCTTTTCCTTTCTAATAAAAGCTCTATCCGCAAATATGTCGAGGCGGCTTGCCGTCTCTCCCTCTATGCCATGCAACACAACTGTTGAGCGAGCAGCTTTTAGGCCAGCCCCATTGCACAACAGGTAATAGGCTACTAATAGCGTAACGCAGCTAGGTAAACACGAATCGATGAAAGAGGCAGACTTCTTAGAACAAAAAGACTAGTTGTGAAGGACACAACATTTTCAGCAGTCAGCAGTAGGAGAAATTGCTCTTAATTATGCAGCAATACTAGGCTTACACGTTTGTGTCATGCGTTCTGAGACGGAGTCCTTGACTAGCTCGTCACTGGCCGCACTTAGAGCAGCAGTCGTCACTACACATGGGTTGGGAAGCAATGGACAAAATTAACACTTGCCATGCACACATGCACTGCTTACCAGTTAAGTTAATATGTCATACTGTACTGCAGCAAGCAAGGAACTGGCAATACCTGCACCAGGCCTATCTACTGTGACCCATGCCATTGTGAATGAGAAGAGGCAGCATTTGACAGTATGAGCGGTGTGATGAACGGGAATGCATAATACAAGCCAGTCGAGCATTGGTACATGTACTTACGGACGCAAGTTGGCTGCACACCGCTCCACTGGCCGTTGATTTCACAAGTCCGCACGGCCGAGCCCATAAGGACATAGGGAGATGTGCACACAAACGTGGTCGTGTTGCTGAACATCAAGCCGTTCACGGTCATTGAGCCCAGTGCCGGTGGTGACAGGACCTGGCAGTCGGTTTGACCTGCACAAGCACAGAGTGCACAGAGCACAGAGCACAGGCATTCAGTGCATGCATGTTTGGCCTAGGGGTGAAACGAGTGCCAAAATTGAGGACTCGAGTACTCTTTGAAAAAACGAGCGAGTATTCGAGCGAGTACGAGTATTTTACTGACAACATAAAACAATGTACTGCACACACTCTCGTAACACTGAACGTATTACAACTGATACACATGTAGTCTTGCATGCAGCCTAGTGCAGGAAATAGTCTGAACTACGTCTTTTGTTGGTAAGTAGGGACAAGTAATAATTTCACACTTGCATGGGTTATCAGTACTGGTCAGAGTAACAGACGTGCTTGATGTACAAGCATACAGTACACTGTGCATAAGATACTTTGAGTATTTTGCGAAACGAGTCCTCACTCCTTTCGAATTTTCGAGCAAGCGCTCGAGTTTTCGATATAATACACCGAAAATTTGTGAAATTACAGTACTCGTTTCATCCCTAAAACGTTTCCGTATGTGTGCGTGGCACAGACGTTGGTTTTGAATACATTGTAGTACACGCATTGTGTAAAGGAAATTGATGCGAAGACTGCCTCAACATGGCCATGCAAAGTAATAAAATAAATACAGCAGTGAATAGCGGTCAACAGTAGCTCTACATTTTGCTTGTAATAGAAGTCATTAGCGTCAGAGCAAGAAGAGGGACAAGACGAGTCAAGGGACAATCCGGAGGACGCAATACTATACGACCAACTGTTTGTTTCTACCAGCGTTATTGTACCGTCGACACAGCTCTGACGACAATATACTGGGCGAATGCCGCGGGGCCTCCCAGCGTGTCAGTGGCAGTGGGTGATGGGTAGATAACAAGGTAGCTTGCGGACAACATCGGTGGCATGAAGCCTAGTGACTGCCAAGCGTTTTGGCGCGACGGGCGAGCAGTACAGTGTCATGCCCCAGGGGCTGCTGTGGCTGTCGACGTCGGCGGGTCGTGAGGTGCGTTCGCAGGCCTTCATGGCGCTCAGACAACTGCAATACTAGTACACAGACTCTCACTACTAGCTACATAGTACTGATTCTGGCACTTTATTTCTGCATTGAATAGTGATTGATTTTCCGCGCCGAATATCCGACGCTGCATGCATGTCCAATGCGCGTCAACAGTACTTCACACTTTCCTTTTCCCGCGTTATCACCTCAGCTATGCCAGTTTTTTATGTGGAAACCCCCTATATAATAGCAGTTTGATCTATATTTTTAATCATTCAATATCTACCTTCACTGATGAGCTATGTATTAGCGAAACAGCTGTCTGAAGGAGTTAATAAATATCGTCTACGGAAGTGTCCTCGCAATGGTGATGGTTGTGCGCAGGAGGGTCTAGTCGGCTAAAGAGCGCAGTGTGGTGGTGGAGGTGACTCAACATTTTCTTCAATGGCCGAGAGCTCTGTCGCACCCTGTAATAATAATAGAAGTCATGGTACTACTATCAGTGCTGCTGCTGGTGCTTACCTGGAGCTGGTGTGACCTTGCCTGGGCAGTACTGTGCATCAGAGCCATCAGCACAGTCGTACCAAACACCGTCGCAGCGCTGAGATGGCAGGATACAGCCACTGGAAAGCAGGCAGGGCAGGTAGCCAGACTGGCACTGCAGTTGAATGGCTGGATACACGTACCCATACACACAACACACAAAGCAGTCAAGAGATGAAGAAAGTGTCTGCTCGGCACATCTTTTGGACAGTCAAGAGATATTAGCATATTTGGAGGAGGTGGTAGCCTAAAACAGGCTCGACAAAAGTTACCGGCTTATGCCAACAACTCAGTGTTCTGGTAGAGTAGACGGTTCGATTCCGGAACGCCTTGACAGCCAAATTTGTATAGACCCAAACCGATCATCAGCGTTGATTTTTCACTCGAAATATGTTTGTGGAAGGAAACTGGCATGTTGAAGTTTGCTCTGGGGCCAGAGTCAATCGAACTGAGCCACTCCTTTGTGTTGACCCATTGCCTCCAAGTTGCCCAATTTTTTGCTTCAAAAAAGTTCAAATCAGAGGTGGCTCCAAACCGGACACGTTTTAGAGTGCACGTCAAATTCACTCTGGGTCTGAAATTAGGTAATTGCTATCGCTCCACGACGGCCAGTACAGAGTAACAATAAGCCTTGTGTGTGCTTCCATTAGTTTTGATTGGTATGCGGTGCTTTATTTGCAAGAGGCGAGCCGCTGTTTACCTGCGACAAGAAGTTGATTTTTCGAAAGTCGTAAAACTCAAGTCGCAGTGCGAAGCAACACGTCAAAAACTCACCTGCTTGGTATGGCGCGTCTGGTCATCGCAGAGCCATGAAATTTTGGCTCGGAGTATAACACATCGTAGTCTCACTGTGACATATGTTTTCTAATCAAAATACCAAGAGAGAAAGTGAATGTTGAGTCCGTTCCGGTTTGCAACCTGTGTCCTATTTGAAACCGTCGCCTCTACCCGGTGAAACACCCTAACCTTACACCTACAAGTATAACATATATCCTAAGGACTCAGGCTGAGATGCCCGCTTCACACGGTCATCTACTCTATCACCATGGTAATTTCTGTGGCACATTGCTGCTTGTTTAACAAAAACGTAGAAAACACACCGAATTTCCAGGTAATTACCATGGTGATACGGTACTTTAGCTTGAACCTATTGTATGACGGGTTTTCTACGATTCATAATGACCTAGGGAATAACTAACAGTTAGCGACGCAATTCTTCTGAGGTGTAAAGTGACTTCAGGAATACATGTATATTGCAGAAAACTGCGATGCATGCTGATTATTTACTGTGCCCTATTGTGCACAATATACCTGGTGTGTTACTCAGGGATAAAGTAGATGCACACACGTGCCGTGCATCACGGCACAGGTTAGGTTCGCAACTAGCTGCTACAGTGTACTTGTGGTCCGAACTTGCACTCTACTCAGCTCTGCATACGCAAAGAGTGCTGGTGCCGAAATGAACCAGAAGGGTGCTGAGTGGGACGCAACAACACTGACTCTGTATACCCATGTACACAGATATGATAGGGTATGCAGTACCTGCTCTAAGATTTAACACAAACCGGGTACACGTCTACCTGGCACAACTCCTGCAACACTGGGCCAGGGCCAGATGCGTTCAAGTGCGGCTACTGTGTGTCAGGGAGTCGTAAACTTACTTTCGACTTCCTGATGTACATGATTGTACATGTACATGTATGAACGTACTCGCACTGGGCACTCTGGCCGCACGCATCTGCACGCGTATGCAGCCTGTCAGTGGCGGTATACCCTCGAAGTATAAAAAAGTATAGTACTCGACAGGACTTCCGACCGGGTAGCAGGTAATCCAGTGTTCTTTTTCCAAAAGGTCCAAGTACTCACAAACAGGGCCACTGACCTGGCTCTGGAGCAGACACTGGTAATCTAGGTCCAAGTTTGCTCGATTTTGTTCTGACGCTTCATGTGCTTTCATAGCCAAGGTTTCTCACTTTCTTCGCAAGCTCTTTTAGTCTTGAGAGTTGACAACTGCTTATGGTTGTGTTGGCAGAAAACATGTCAGCTCAGTAATCTGACAACCGTCCAACCCCATTTTACTGGTAAGTAGTCAGCGAGTGGCTTTGATGGGGCCATACTAGAGGGGAAGTTACGCGGCATATTTGTGCTTCCTTTTTGAAAACACGTTCTCGCTCAAAGGGTTTCTAAACTTTCTCCCTGCGCTCATTGATGGAGTTCATCGATGGAGTTGCCAGCGGCACTCTACAGAAGAACTATGTTGTCAAGTTTTTTTATGAAAAATTGTCAAACATTTTCAAATTGCTATAAGTTTGGTTAGGGCCGGGTTCCACTGCGGCTCCGCAGCTCCGCTGCTCCACGGTACTTGGCTGCATGCAGCAGAGCGGCGCGGTTCCAGTGACATTCGCCATTCACGGTACCGCGATCGTGCTCGACGTTTTTTGATGACATTTAGCCTGCCTGCGCGCGGGTAAAATCCAAAAAAATCCTCGTGTTCTGGCCTGTGCAACGAATTAAAATTCCCCCGACTAAAACAATTAAGTGCGGGAAACAATGCAAGCCGTGACCGCGGCTTGCATTTTTTTTGTATCAAGCAGCGAAGCGAAAGCTGGTGATGAGCCGCGGCCTCACTGGACCAGCTCGTAATGACGTTTCATGCCGTGGATGATGTGCGGCGGAGCGGCAGTGGAACCCAGCCCCTAGGCAAAGGAAATTTGTCATTAATTTGTTTATGCTGCATAGATGGAGAGCTGCACACTCTGGCTTATGGACTCTCGCCTACAGTGTAGTCGTACTGCTAGTGTACTGGCATTACAGAAGACACGAAAAACGAGAACATTATTATGGCGAGAAAGTAATTACTGGCTAAGAATTGCCCTAGGACTTACCGCTTCTCAGTGCTCCATACCAGGAAGTAGTACAATACCTACTCCCTGCTCCATACGAGTGTTTTCTCCTCATTCTCTGCATCCTTTACCCCAGGAGTCTCGTCCATTTAGCGGCTCAAATGCTTGAGCTCCGGATAGCGGAAAATAGCTCGTCGTCCATTAGCGGCTCTAATAGTACCTGGTCTGAAGTGTCGCAGTCTAGCAACTATGATTTTTTCCAGGAGGGTAAGGGTTGCAAACCCAAAGAGACCCTAAGCTTCGTCTATCAAACAAAATTGGCAATTGCCCTAAAAAATGGAAGAGGAAAAGAGTGAGCGCGCTACTTTTCAAAAAATAGAAGCTGAAAGCCATCAAAGTCAAAGCATTCTGGCTAGCGCGTTTGTGTATGTCACGAGCGCTAGCGCGCTAGTCGCAGCAAACGCTCGCAGGCCAGAGTTAGCGCTATGGGGCTGTTAAGTGATGACGTCACAGTTCCTTCGATACGCATAGCAACGATCCCACTGGGGACAAACAAAAGTAGCGTCGTCTCCAGCGAACCAGTTGTCAGTGGCAACATATAGGGATCGTGTACATTTCTTCGTTTCTTCTTTGCTGTTTTCAGTGAGTGTTTTGTTTTCTCTTTGTCCTTGATCTCGACGGTGTTGTCGTGCTCATTACCTTACTGAGACGTCTCTTGTGACTGTAGCCAGTGTCACGGAGGATTTTATTGGCGTGACGAGGTAGATCGCCGAGATCGAGTGTGAAAAACGCTCTGCATTAGTAGCTCCTGTAGAATGTCTTCTGGGATGGCGTATCCATGGTCAACAAAGCCAAGGTGCAAGACAGCATAAGAGATCGTGTAAACGATGTGAACTCCAAAAGGTAAGCTCCTGAACAAGTGGAAAGATATGTGTATTTACAAGCTCTCTCTTCATCCATCGATTGCCGCTATGCATTGCATTTTGTCTTCACCGATAATCTGGACAAATAAATTATATTGTAACTGGAGAGTGCAATCGTGCTTGGGACCCATCCCAATGTCATCACATGGCTTTGGTGACTAGTGTATACCTGTACCTGGGAGAGGTTTTCCTCAACTGAGACGGAGTGTAGGTGGATGGATTATGAGAAATGCGAAGATGTGGAGTAAGTTGTGTCGAAGAAATGTGTAATAAAATATAATTTACTTTACACTCAAACATACACTGTACATGTACATGTAACATCATGATAATGATTCCATCTTCATATCTCCGCAACAGGTACGCCATGCGCACCGAATACATGGTGTGTGTGTGCACGCACACGCTTGCGTGCGTACATGCACATACTCTCATGCGTGGCCGAGTTGGCCGGATGAACAGACCACGCATTTGCACGAGGTGTCCGTCATGTCATTGGAATGCTCTACTTTATGACTTTATTCCAAAAGAGTATGTCTTGCCCCTGTCAAATGGAGTTTGTGTCTATGCTCAGCGGGTATCGGGCCACGACGCCACACTGCAGTCAGCGCTGGAATTAAAATAGCACTTCATGGATTATTTTAACTAATTTCCTTTGCGTTTATATGTACTTAGTTGAGCCCGTGGCTTCATTTCTGTGTTCTGTTATGATTGGCCTCTGGAAATAATCGGAGTGGATGTCATTTTTGTCATGTGTGTGCCTTGTGCAACAGGTTCAAGGCTAGATGCACTTCACATTCGGTGTGCGATCTCGGCGTCTGGGACCTGATAACGTCTTGGTTGGATGGGTAATCAAGGATGATACTACTCGGCACACCAATGTACATGTCAATGTAATTTTTACTTTTTCAAAGCTGCACTATTTACGGACGAATGTGTCTGTTAGAGAGGAAATAAATAGTATTCACAAACAAGTCCCACTTATTGTTTCTGTTCGTAAAAGGAAATTGCAATTTTTTGGTCATATTGTTCGTTCCGGCTGTTTGTCATTGACTGTTCTTCAGGGTTGTGTTGCTGGAGGTCGTGGCCGAGGCAGGCCCAGAATGTCATGGCTTGATAATATTATTTCATGGACTGCACTTGACGTGCAGTCCCTTGCTCGCTGCTGCACGCGATCGATTTTTATGGCGCTCGCTTCAAGCCTTGGTCATACTTGCTCTGTGACGCCCGACGGCCTTAGGGCTATGGGCTTGTGATGATGACTATTTACGTCTTGATGCTTACTTCGGTGCTAGCGTGTTTCCCCCGGATTATTTCTATCATCATGCGTGTTCTTGGGCTGAGCGAGCACATGCACGAGTGTGCAGCTATAACCCCGTGTATCTTTGGTTACACTTTGTTCTGCAATGCATGTACCTTGTAACAGTATGTGCTTGCACTGCTTTGTGTGGCCTGCGTATTTCAGGACTATTCAGTGCATTAGACCCAGGTTGGTTTGGTTGCCGGATGATCTCTTGTTGCGTCGCTCTGTGTTTTGTATTCATCAATTTTTGGGCTTGAGAATTGAGCTGGTGTGTGGTTCCCAATATCAAAACATCATGCTGGTGCTCTGTGTTTCGATTATCGACTGTCCGAGCAGTCACGATTCATTACCAGAACGGTCAATACTGTAGTCTCTTGACGTGTTTGTCTTTTTGTGTTTTCGCCGGGGGAATTAGCGGTGACGTTGCACATAGAACGACAGTGTTGCATCACTGGACGACCCTGCCTCTGCATCTGACTTTATGTCCCCAGGATCTGGTGCAGACACACCAGACAATCACTTCCTGTAAACACGCAAACAGCAAAAGAAGAGATCCCGCAAATCAGGAAAAACCGTTGTGGAAAATATCGAGTAGATCATACACCATTCAATAATCTAGAGTAATTACAGTGAGACAAACACTTCAGTGCTCTCTCTCTCTCTCTCTGTCTCGATCCTTCCAAAATACCCTGTAACAATTCCCTAGAATTATTTTATTTTATATTCTCAGGACATCATTCTGAACATAATAACTTCTTCCATGGGTCTTCAATCACCACGGAGGGCGAGAATATATCTAAGTCATGCAGTTTACGGGAGGTGCGAGCTGTCATGGATATAGAGGCTGATATCATTGTGCCAGTGTGAGGGCAGAGACAGAAAGAAGACACTGATTTCTTGAACAACTCACCTACATATAATCGAATCCACAGGGAGCGCTCGTACTTTAATCCATCAGGACGCGAAGAATCTTCAAAGCACTCTCAAACACGGAGTTTTACAGTGGGCAGCCAATTTCACAGCCATTATGAAGGCCCTCGACGACTACAGGAGATTTGCAGAGGAAAGAACAAGGAGTAAAGAGCGACAACAATCGCTTGAAGAAAAAGCAAAGAAAAACTGCTCTCTCTCCAGTCATTTAGATGCTGTTGCCTTTGACAACTGGTTCCATCCAGAGGACGCGACTTTTGTTTGTCCCCAGTGCTCTCCGTTGCTATGCGTATCGAAGGGGCCGTGACGTCACACTTAACAGCCCCATTTGGGCTGTTTGCCGCACGCGGCAGCTGGATGGATCACGTGATCCAAGCTGACAAATAAGGTCCGATGGTTCAGCTACATTGAGCCACAAGCGCACTGCAGTGCATCCACATACTCATCTGGTCATTGGCTGGCGGTGTACTGGGGAATATTGCGAGTCGCTCCGCCAAGCAGTCGCTGCTGACTTGCTGCAGCACACCAAATAAAGGACGCTGTCGCGGAAGCGAATGTGGACCCGGCTTGCGTCCGCCAAGCCAACTTCACAAGCTCCGTGAGAGTCGAGACAGCAGACGCCCAAGTATTGGAGAAGACTGTCGACAGCCGATTTGAGAAACTGTCCGACGCCGCCATCGACAGCCTCGTTTCTGAGCAAAAAAACAAAAACACATGCAGGCAACTGACAAATGGCTCCGCTTATTCGACGAGTATTGTAAAGACACAGGACGTCGCTGTGACCTGAGTACGGTTACGGCAAGCGACCTAGCTTTAATACATTCTGCGACATGCATACGTCGAATTCCGTCCGGAGAAAGCTGGAGTGAAGTTCTACTCTGCATCAAGCTTGCTCGGTTTCCGTTCCGCAATACATCGCAAGCTAGTCGAGTTGAAGCGGCCCATGAACGTCCACAGTGACCCAGCGTTCAAGGACGCAAACATTGCATTGAAGGCTTTCCTCATGAAGCCAAAGAAAGCGGGAGAAGTCAAAGCGGTGGAGCACAAACACCCCATCAACGACGACGACATGAGCAAGCTGTCCCGCTACTTCCAGGATCTCCCGTGTATAGACAGCAGCTGCTGGAAAGAAGTGTTCCTCTAAAAATGAACGCGACTGGTTGTGCTGTGTTGTATGACTGTGAAATGATAGCAGGGTTGCATGCAGCATGCTAGGGTTGCACCAGACTGTGTCAAGTGTATGTGGTGACAGACTGTGTGGTGGCAGGGGTGCGATAAATACTGCACTCGGACGCGTGCAATACCGGCGTCGATATCTGCACTTACGGCTTCGCCGTTCGTGCAGATATCGGCCGGTATTGCACTGGTCCTTGTGCAGTAATACATACCTACTGCGCCTGTCACCGGCGAGAACATGACTGCATGTGCAGCCGTGCATGCAGTCTCAAGTGCAACCTGCATGCGCTACTAGTACTAGTAATACAGTTGGCCGGGCCCCGTCGTGCAGCGCAGCGGTCGTGTGGTGTCGATCTTGTCGACGTCGAGTCTCGATCGCGGGCGGGCGTAGATCCACAGCAGTACGAAAATGGTACCTGAAATTTTTGACTTACGGGGATCGCCATGGCAAATAATAGACATAAAACTGTACACGTTCGGGCTCTCCGCCTTCTCCGTGAAATTATAATACCGTAAAAGAAAACTAGAGGGGAAAAAAGAAGCAACAATGAGGAATAGGAACTGATTTAGGAACCACTTGCAGTCAGTTACACAGGGCAGCGGGCCTCGGCAACGGCCAAGGTAGCAGATGCATCCGCCACATCGCTGACGCGCAGGGGGCGTCGCCGAGCACCACGCAAACAAACCATGCTGGAGCGAACCAGAGCAAAGCCAAGTCGGCAGCGAAACCACGCCATTACACGGTTGTACGGCTCCTTCGTCTTGTCGGACAGGAGCCCGGCAATCCGCTTATAGCAGGCTGTTGCCGACTTGCCCATGCCGCCTGTTGAGGAGAGAACGAGAGGTGAAAAAGTTGCATGTTCGATCTCTCGAACACGCTCCTCATAGCAGCGGCGTTTCTCCCGTTCGTGGCGCTGGTAGCAGGAGGGTACTGAGGTGGAGCGATTTGAAGCCGCGAAAGGGTTAAAAACCCGTACGTCGAAGAAAGTGCGGTCAAAACGCCCACCCCAGACACCACTCGCTGCTATATCCAGCCTAGCCCGGGGCTCCGTTATGGCAGAGCGGTAGCGGAATGCTTCCCCAGTTACCGACTGCAGGTGTGGTTCAGTGGTGACGTTGTTGGCGACCCGTTTGAGGAGACCAGCCGTAACATCTCGCACCTCGTTGTGCCTCAGTGAGGGAAACCCACCCAGAGAGCACGACAAGGCGTGGGCGACGGTGAACGATGCACCACACGGGCAGATCGATGGAAGGTGGGTTGGCGGCCAGCCATAGCGGAGCGCAAGGCCATCCCGGAACTCACCCTTCGAGAGGGCAAAGCCATGGGCCTTCAGGGGTCTACAGGTCAGCCAAGCCGACGCACCCTTCTCCGCCGCCAGACCGACACAGAGCTGGATATCAGTGTTCTGCGTCAGGATGAACTCTTTGGCTGCTTGGGCCGTTGAAGTGCGGGTACGACTTGCCACCTCCCTCTTAGTGGACCGTACCAGGTCCAGCACATGGCCAATCTTGGGGGTCCTGGTCCAGAATCTTGCGGACGAGCGCGGAGGTTATCGCTGCCGATGCCCGGAACTGGTCGCCCAAGGTGGTGGGGTCGACTAAGCCGAGGCCTCCTTCACGGCATGGGAAAGCAAGGACCCTTCGCTCACGTGAGTTTACTGGCTTACCGCACAGGGCAGGAATGAGGACATTGGTGATGGTGTCTTCCAGAGGGCCAAGATTTTCAGCAGCACACTCCATGACTCTGCACAGGAAGGACCAGCGATGCTTCAGGCCTTGCGTGAATGCTGCATAGGCAGCCTGTGGCTGGGTTTCGGCAATCTTGGCCAAGGACACGATCTCGTCTTTCCACCCGTTTGCCTTCTGGGAAACATAGCTCTGGACGAACTCCGTCGATCCGAGTGCAGCACCTAGTATTATGGTTGACCCAAGAGTTGGGGGATTATGTACTCTTCAATCTCCACACATCTTGCCATGGTATACTTGTCCTAATTTTGTAAAACCTGGCTGAATTTCCTTTTCCTGTTCTTGGCCTTTTCTGCAGCTGGCTTCAAATGTGGCAAAGGAGGCACGGGTCAGACAATGCAAGATGTACTGTTGTTTTCACGATATCTACAACTACAGTATGTGCGGAAGACACCAAAAAGTGAGGGTGCCAGTTTCCAATGAATAATTATAGGTTACTGGTTATAGGCGATTCACACGACAGGCAAATCCACGTTTGTCAGGTGCCCGCAGGAAGTGAAACGCGAGGCTGCAGTTCACACGGCCGCGGGTGGCGGCCAGAGCTCCCGCGAGTATCCGGTGAGTATACGGCGTTACTTTGGTGATTTGGAATGAGTACCCAAAGACAAAGGCCAAACAACCCGGGTTCAAGACTACCGTACGATAGTACGACCTCACAGCCTCATAACTGTAAAAGTGCCCGCAGATGAGTGCATCCGCGGGCAAAAAGGCCATGGACACTTTTGATTCCCGCGGGCAAATTTTGTTCACTCGCAGGAATATCTCCATGGTGACTTTCCTGTAAACGTGGATTTGCCTGTCGTGCCCGACAGGTTAGCCTGAGGGCCGTAGGCCCGAGGGCTACCCTGAAGGGCACAAACAAGCCATAAGACCCTCCCTGCCATGCACTAACTAATTTTAGAACGAGGTTACATGCATTATCTCACTTCCATTATTCTTGGGTAACATTATATTGGGTAGTTTTGTGGTTTGTGTGCAGAGAGACTTGGTGTGGTATGAAAGAATATTTTCTTCTGGTAAGTTATGGTAACTCAGCACCACTTAGGACTACTAAAAGTAGAATAGAAGCAAATGAAATGTTGGGCTCTAGTTGCGAGCTTCATTCTTATTCAAAGCTTGTGGAGCTATTTAGGGGCTTTGAGAGCCCCTTGTCGATACCTCTCAGGACTTTGATCTTCGGTTTTTATAGATTTCCGCAAGCTGTTGACAAAGGCAATTCGTTTAGATGGGTCCGTTTTTTTGAAATGTTGACGTAGGTACGCGTTTCTCGAGCTCCGTAGTTTTGAGTGGATTTTCCGACTTCAACGTGCCTCTCCCGCAAACCAGCCGATGCAGGGTGCCACTTGTTGCCGGTGCAACGGCAACTGCACCTGCGTTCGGTGCGAATGCATGAAGGAGGGCCGAGAGTGTCGGAATTGTCTCCCTTCGAAGAAGAACAAGTGCCGAAACAGCTCCCCGACTTCCCAACCGTCTTCTCAACCAACGGCCACAGCTACCGTACCCGCTGTTGGTGATACGGTGCCGGACCATACTATCAGCAGGACGTCGACGAGCTCCGACAACAGAGCAACCACAGCTACGACACTAGACTCCGTACCCGTACCAAATGTCTCGAATGTGCACAAGCCAGCACTGGCAGCAGTCACCGAGAGTGCAGCCGCAGTACTCACCACCACCCTACTTGCAGAGTGCAGAGACGGTCACGGACCACCTCGCACAGCCCGGTCGAGCTCGTCTCCCGGTACCCGCACTGGCAGTAGAGAGGTTAAGTTACACGTTTTTTGCCCTTTTTCAAAACGCGGTGCAAATCTCACGTTACGTGTAATTTTTAGAGGTTAAGTTACACGTGCGACCTGACGTGAAATTGTGCCTGGCAGGATTCGGGTTTAGTTCGCACAAATATCAAATCTTCCAACAATCTTGATAAATCTCGATAAAATTCCGGAAACTCACACAAATTCGGTCTGGATAACCAAGCGAAACTTCCAAAAACTCACGTCATGAACTTACGTGCGGGACAGTCAACTCACGTAAAACACGTCAAATTTTACGTGAGTTTTTTTCACTTTTTGACGTAAAAGTTCACGGACGTAAGACTTTTACGTGAAACTTAACCTCTCTATTAGCTCCGTAGTACCCGTACATGTGCAGGTGCCGAACTCGCCTGACACCATGTACCAATGGGGCTGTTAAGTGATGACGTCACAGTTCCTTCGATACGCATAACAACGATCCCACTGGGGACAAACAAAAGTAGCGTCGTCTCCACCGACCCAGTTGTCAGTGGCAACATAAAGGAATCGTGTACATTTCTTCGTTTCTTCTTTGCTGTTTTCAGTGAGTGTTTTGTTTTCTCTTTGTCCTTGATCTCGACGATGTTGTCGTGCTCATTACCTTACTGAGACGTCTCTTGTGACTGTAGCCAGTGTCACGGAGGTTTTTATTGGCGTGACAAGGTAGATCGCCGAGATCGAGCGTGAAAAACGCCCTGCATTAGTAGCTCCTGTGGAATGTTTTCTGAGTTGGCGTATCCATGGTCAACAAAACAAAGGTGCAAGACAGCATGAGAGATCGTGTAAACGATGTGAACTCCAAAAGGTAAGCTCCTGAACAAGTGGAAAGATATGGGTATTTACAAACTCTCAGTCTCTCTTCATCCATCGATTGCCGCTATGCATTGCATTTTGTCTTCACAGATAATCTGGCCAACTTTATTGTAACTCAGAGAGAGTGCAATCGTGCTTGGGGCCCATCCCAATGTCATCACATGGCTGTGGTGACTAGTGTATATCTGGGAGAATTTTTCCTCGACTGATACGGAGTGCAGGTGGATCGATTATGAGAAATGCGAACATGTGAAGTAAGTAATTCGTTGTGTCGAAGAAATGTGCAATAAAATAAAATTTACTTTACACTCAAACATACACTGTAGATGTACATGTAACATCATGATAATGATTCCATCTTCATTATCCCGCAACTGGTACACCATACGCACCGAATACATGGTGTGTGCGCGCGCGCGATGCACACACTCTCATGCGTGGCCGAGTCGGCCAGATGAACAAACCATGCATTTACACGAGGTGTCCGTAATGTCATTGGAACGCTGTACTTTATGACTTTATTCCAAAAGAGTATGTCTTGCCCCTGACGAATGGAGTTGTGTCTGTGCTCAGTGGGTATCGGGCTATGACGCAACACTGCAATCAGCGCTGCAATTAAAAGAGCATTGCATAGATTATTTTGACTAACTTCCTTTGCGTTTACTTGGTTGAGCCCGTGGTTTCATTTCTGTGTTCTGTCATGATTGGCCTCTGGAAATAATCAGAGTGGATGTCATTTTGCCATATATGTGTGCCTTGTGCGACAGGTTCAAGGCTAGATGCACTTCACATTCGGCGTGCGATCTCAGCGTCTGGGACCTGATGAAGTCTTGGTTGGATGATTATTCAAGCCTGATACTACTCGACACACCAATGTTCATGTCAATGTAATTTTTCAGAGCTGCACTATTTACGTGTTGATGCTTACTTTGGTGTTAGCGTGTTTCCCCCGGATTGTTTCTATCATCATGATCGTGTGCTCTTGGGCTGAGCGAGCACATGCACAAGTGTGCAGCTATAACCCTGTGTATCTTTGATTACACTTTGTTCTGCAATCCATGTACCTTGTAACATTATGTGCTTGCACTGCTTTGTCTGGCCTGCGTATTTCAGGACTATTCAGTGCATTAGACCCAGGTTTGTTTGGTTGCCGGATGATCTCTTGTTGCGTCGCTCTGTATTTGTATTCATCAATTTTTGGGCTTGAGAATTGAGCTGTTGTGTGGTTCCCAATATGAAAACATCATGCTGGTGCTCTGTGTTTCGATTATCGACTGTCGGAGCAGTCATGCATTTATTAGCAGAACGGTCAATACTGTAGTCTTTTCACGTGTTCGTCTTTTTTGTGTTTTCGCCGGAGGTATTAGCGGTAACGTTGCACACAGAACAGCAGTGTTGCATCACTGGACGACCCTGCCTCTGCATCTGACTTAATTTCCCCAGGATCTGGTGCAGTTACACCAGACAGCCACTTCCTGTAAACATGCAAACAGCAAAAGAAGAGATCCCGCAAATCAGGAAAAACCATTATGGAAAATATAGAATAGATCATACAACATTCAATAATCTGGAGTAATTACAGTGAGACAAACACTTCAAACAGTGCTCTCTCTCTCTGTCTCCATCCTTCCCAAAATACCCTATGACAATTCCCTAGAATTATTTTATTTTATATTCTTAGGACATCTTTCTGAACATAATAAATTCTTCCATGGGTCTTCAATCACCACGGAGGGCGAAAATATATCTAAGTCATGCAGTTTACGGGAGGTGCGAGCTGTCATGGATATAGAGGCTGATATTGTGCCAGCGTGAGGGCAGAGACAGAAAGAAGACACTGATTTCTTGAACAACTCACCTATATATAATCGAATCCACAAGGAGCGCTCATACTTTGATCCATCAGGACGCGAAACATCTTCAAAGCACTCTCAAACACGGAGTTTTACTGTGGGTAGCCAAGTTCACAGCCATCATGAAGGCACTCGACGACTACAGGAGTTTTGTAGAGGAAAGAACAAGGAGTAAAGAGCGACAACAATCGCTTGAAGAAAAAGCAAAGAAAAACTGCTGTCTCTTCAGTCATTTAGATGCTGTTGCCCTTGACATCTGGTTCCATCCAGAGGACGCGACTTTTGTTTGTCCCCAGTGCTCTCCGTTGCTATGCGTATCGAAGGAGCCGTGACGTCACACTTAACAGCCCCATGACAGTGCTGATGTCGATGTCGAACCTGCCAGCCAAGTGCGTGAGCCAGCGGACGTGGAGTGTGCCGATGGTGCCATGATGAATGCCAGCGGGATTGCTGTGGCGGAGCGCAGGGCAGCAAGCAGTGCGGCGGCGCCGAATCCGGACGTTACAGATCAGGAGTTGCACTCGGCTAGTAATACACCGGTCCAAATCGCTGACCCTGACACCATCACCGACAGCCAGGCAACGCACCTATTGGCCACACTGGATGCCGGTGAAAGCCAACCCTCTAGCACTCCCAACTTCGACACAGACGCAACAGCCACTGGGGGCCCAGCTGGATCTGCAGACGGTGCAGAGGTCCCCGACCTACCAGTCTTCCCATCACTGGACCGCACCGCATTCCGACTTGGAGAACTGACCGGGGAAGACTCCGTGACAGCCATCGTTGAGGCGTATGCGGTTGTCGTCCACTTCCGCCCCAACCTGTTCCCAGTTCCCCAGGGCACCGTCGGTCGCTCGTTCATCTCCCAGCTGAGTGCCTTCTTCCACAGCTTTGGCAGTGCCTCGGCCTCAGAAGATGTCGCACTCAAGGCGGCGATGGTCTTCCCACAGCTGATGTTACAGAATCCGCAGGGCAACCATACCAAGCCGTCTCCACAGGAACACCTAAGGAGACGTCTAGAACTTTGGCGAACAGCAAGCCTGCCGGAACTGCTCCGCGAGTCAACCACCATCCAGAAGCAGGTCCAGGACAGGCACCAGCCAGCCGCCCGATCGACCCCCCCCCCCCCCCTGACCTGGCAAGGGCGTTCGCCGCTAATGTGTCCTCCGGCAAACTACCATCCGCCCTCCGTCAGCTATCAAGTGGTGGCTGCAAAGGAGTTCTCAGCCTGGACACCACTGTCGGCACTGATACCACCCGTGACCTTCTTATCAGCAAACATCCGGCAGGGGAGCCGGCTGATGCAGAGTCTCTGCTCACGGGTGAGCCACCTATTCAGCTCCACAGAGTGATGTTCTCAAGCCTGACCCGTGACGTCATCTGCCGGGCCGCCCTGCACACCCACGGCGCGGCTGGGCCATCGGGCATGGACGCTGATGGATGGCGGCGCATGTGCACCGCGTTCTCCGAAGCGTCGGATGAGCTGTGTGACTCGCTTGCAACATGCGCTCGTCGCATTGCTACCACATGCGTCAACCCAGCGACACTGGAGGCGCTCGTCGCATGCAGATTAATAGCCCTTGACAAATCGCCGGGTGTTCGACCCATTGGTATCGGCGAAGTGGCCAGGCGCATTGTCGGCAAAGCCATCCTCACTGTCACCGGGAGAGATATCCAAGATGCAGCGGGCACCCTTCAACTGTGTGCCGGTCAGGAGTGCGGCATTGAAGCTGCCATCCATGCGATGCAAGATGTCTACCGTGAGGAGGATGCGGATGCCATATTGCTCGCCGACGCTTCGAACGCCTTCAACCGGCTTAACCGTGAAGCCTGCCTACGGAACATCCGTCACCTCTGTCCCTCTATAGCGCAAGCTGTAATCAACACCTACCGCCAACCATCCCGCCTATTCGTTGATGGAGAGTGCTTGCTATCGTGCGAGGGTACCACTCAGGGTGACCCTCTGGCCATGTCCGTATATGCACTTGGAGTCCTCCCGCTCATCAAGAAAGTTGCAGTGCCTGGTGCGAAACAGGGCTGGTATGCGGACGATGCTGCAGCCGGTGGCAAGCTAACGCCTGTTCGCCAATGGTGGGACAATCTCGTCAGCCAAGGTCCTGGGTATGGCTACCACTGCAATGCCCAGAAGTCACTCCTCCTGGTCAAGCCCTCCAGGTACGCAGCTGCTATCGAGATGTTCGAGGGGACCGGTGTGCAGGTCACGTGTGATGGTTGCCGCCACCTTGGTGCACCTTCGGGCACGGATGAGTTTATAGAACAATTTGTCCAGTCCAAGGTCGCCACCTGGTGTGAGGAAGTTGCGCAGCTCACGACCATCGCTGCATCGCAGCCACAGGCCGCCTACTCCGCCTTCACACAGGGCCTGCAAAACAAGTGGTCCTTCCTCTGCCGGACCTCCTCCATCCCGCCATCCTTGCTTGAACCGCTGGAACACGCAATCAGCGGTCGGCTCATCCCGGCCATCACGGGTCAGGCTCCACCTGGGACAACTGTTCGCTCCCTACTCTCTCTGCCTTGCCGGCTTGGGGGACTGGGTATGGCAGACCCTTGTTCAGTGGCTGAACAGTACACCTCATCCCGAAGGATCACGGCTAGCCTCGTGTCTCGCCTGCTGGAGCAGGAGTCGTCTCTTGGCGACTCTCTGACTCAGCTCCGGACGGTCAAGGCGACGGTTCGGGCCGAGAAGCGGAGCGCGTTCAAGTCTATGGCTGACGCTCTTCGCTCGGATCACCGGGAGCTGGCCCCTGTTCTCGACCTGGCCTCAGAAAAGGGTGCATCCAGCTGGCTGACCTGCCGCCCCCTCAGCCGCCATGGTTTCACACTCAGCAAGGGAGATTTCCGGGATGGCCTGTGCCTCCGGTACGGCTGGACACCTCCTCGGCTCCCAAGCCTCTGCGTGTGCAGTAAGCCGCTGAATGTGAGTCACGCCCTGTCGTGCCCGTTTGGTGGCTTCCCGACGCTGCGACACAACGAGGTGAGGGACATCACCGCCAGAGCTCTGAGGCAGGCCGCTCACAACGTGACAGTGGAACCCCACCTCCAGCCCGTCACCGGAGAGGCCTTCCGCCATCGCACAGCTGTCACGGAGGAGCAAGCTCGGCTGGACGCTGCGGCTAGTGGTGTGTGGGGTGGCCGATTCGAGCGCATCTTTATTGATGTACGGGTGTTCAACCTTTTGCGTCTTCGAATCGTGCCACCTCCCTCGCTGCTAGCTACAGACGCCATGAACAGGAAAAGCGCCGGAAGTACGAGGAGCGAGTACGTGAAGTTGAGCATGCCTCCTTCGTGCCCGTTGTGCTCTCTGCCTCTGGTGGCTATGGCAAGCATGCCAATGCTCTTTTCACGCGGATCGCCTCTCTCCTGGCTGAGAAGAGTAAGGAGCCATACGGGCAGGTTATCTCCTTGCTGCGCTGCCGCCTTGGGTTTGCCCTGGTGCGTTGTGGTGCTATGTGCCTGCGTGGCTCAAGGAGCATGTTTGCTCCTGCCATGCCTGAGTCCCCTGCTGTGCTAGTGGCGGCGGAGGCACGCATCCAGTGAACCTGCACAGTGCAGTGATCCTACTGAGTGACAGACTCTGTAAATACTATTATGATGATTCGTTTTTATATATGTGTTGATTCTTCACAAAATGTGTTATTTTGCCCGTACAAGAGGCTCAGTTTTCCGTGTGACAAAAAAATTCGTTTAGATGAAAGAATACGGGAGGCAAAAACCGTACACACTTCTGAAATGCGTAGCTTTTAGTAGTACACCGTACATTTTATGCAGAGTTCATTTTCTGCACAGTACTATAATTCATACAGGGAATTGTACGCACCAGTTTAGAGTATATTCAGCGGGCTTTAAACTAATCCAAGGCCCTCGACAGGGAGGGTCTTATGGCTTGTTTGTGCCCTTCAGGGTAGCCCTCGGGCCTACGGCCCTCAGGCTAACCTGTCGGGCACTAACAAGCCTTAGAACGAGGTCTGTCTCGTTGTCCAGGAAACGACCAATCAGCGACATTCCCGCCAAGGGCCTTATCAGAGTTTAAAGCCCGCTCAATCGTTATTTTACTACTCTTGATGACGCGTCGAGGGCCTTGGAATAGTTTAAAGCCCGCTGAAGCTACTCTAAACTGGTGCGTACAACTCCCTGTATGCATAATACGGTGCAGATAATGAACTCTGCATAACGTGTACTGTGTACTACTAAAAGCTACGCAATTCAGAAGTGTGTACGGTTTTTGCCTCCCGTATTCTTTCATCTGTACGAATTTTCTTTGTCAACAGCTTGCGGAAACCTATAAAAAGCGAGGATCAAAGTCATTAGAGTTATCGACAAGGGGCTCTCAAAGCCCCTAATTAGCTCCACAAGCTACATACATTATGAAAAAGAATGAAGCTCGCAATAAGAGCCCAGCATTTCATTTGCTTCCATTCTACTTTGGTAACTCAGCACCACTTTAACTTACCAGAAGAAAATATTCTTTCATACCACACCAAGTCGCTCTGCACACAAACCACAAAACTACCCAATATAGTGGTACACAAGCATAATGGAAGTGAGATAATGCATGTAACCTCGTTCTAAAATAGTTAGTGCATGGCAGGGAGGGTCTTATGGCTTGTTTGTGCCCTTCAGGTTAGCCCTCGGGCCTACGGCCCTCAGGCTAACCTGTCGGGCACTAACAAGCCATAAGGCCCTCCCTAGCCCCTGCCATGCACTAACCAAATAATAAGGCCCTCCCTGCCATGCACTAACCTATAAGCAAGAGTACATAACCCCCCAGAGTGTGCAACGCCGATCCAGCTCTGCATAGGGTCTTGGTCGAGCGGAATCGGATCTTCTGATGTCATGCGTATACTCCACACCAGCGCAAGGCCGGTCTCGAGGCAGGGTACCATTGTTTTTGATCCAAGAGCACCCGCGACTCCCCGGATTCCCCTCAGATGTGTACGGTATTATGACGCAAAGATCCGATTCCGCTCGACCAAGACCCTATGCAGAGCTGGATCAGGCGTTGCACACTCTGGGGGGTTATGTACTCTTGCGTATAAGCAAGAGTACATAACCCCCATGTTATCGTTTTCTCGGATTCCGGTTTTCCACTCTGTTATGCTCGAATCCATAGGCTGTGTTTACATGAGAAATTTCAACCCGGGTCGAGTTCAGCCCGGGTTGAAAGTCTGTACGACAAACAAAAGAGGTGAACGTTTACATGAAGACAGTTGACCCGGGTCAAATACTGATATGCCGCCAAAAGTCCACTTCTACAGTCCTGTATGGTCACGTGAATCCGTTCGCGCGAAATTTGCATCTGCAGTGCTGTTCAAACCTGGCGCGCGCGAGATACGCACAGAAGTACGTTTGTACGATTTTCTTGACCCGGGTTGATTTCAACCCTCCCCTTGGGGGGAGGGTTGAAATCAACCCGGGGCGAAATTTCAACCCGGGTCAAGCGCAATGCGTCATGTAAACGCGCCATTCACTTTGTGCACATGGCGGGTTGAAATCTGACCCGGGTCGAACTCAACCCGGGTTGAAACGCTTCATGTAAACACAGCCATAGTCTGTTTAGTCTGTACACGATTTGTACGCAACTTCTCATTGTTTTTTTTTGTTTTTGTTTTTTTACCAGGCGTGGGCCATCCCCTGATCAAAAAAAAAAACAAAAAAAACATAACCCCCAGAGTAAGTAGTACCGCAGAGTGTGCAAAGCCTGATCTTCTGATGTCATGCGTAGAGTACGCTCCACACCGGCTCAAACAGCAAGGCCGGTCTCGTAGCAGGGTAGGGTTGTTTTTTATCCGCGAGCCCCGAAGGCTCCCTGGGCCCCCCTCAGATGTGTACGGTCTTATGACACAAAGATCCGATTACGCTCGACCAAGACCCTATGCAGAGCTGGATTAGGCGTTGAACACTCTGGGGGGCTATGTACTTTTGCTAAGCCTTGTTAAAAACAGCAATCTGTGTCGTATTTAGCGGGTGCGACACCTTCGAGTACTAATTTGTTGACCCCGCCAATCAAAGTGAATGGCATGCAGGCTGGTACCAAGAGTACATAACCCCCCAGAGTGTGCAACGCCTGATCCAGCTCTGTGTAGGGTCTTGGTCGAGCGGAATCGGATCTTCTGATGTCATGCGTACACTTCACACCAGCGCAAGGCCGGTCTCGAGGCAGGGCACCATTGTTTTTGATCCAAGAGTACCCGCGACTCCCCGGGTTCCCCTCAGATGTGTACGGTATTATGACGCAAAGATCCGATTCCGCTCGACCAAGACCCTACACAGAGCTGGATCAGGCGTTGCACACTCTGGGGGGTTATGTACTCTTGCTGGTACGCACCTGATACGCGCTGCAAATTCCAACATGCTGGAATTTCCATTTGGGCGCGTTTCCGTACGCATGGCGCTCCAAAAGCCAGCAAAAATACGCGCAAACGCGTGGTTTCACGCGCACACACACCAGTTGTGAACACAGCTTAAGTCCAAGGATTTAGAACTTTTTCCTCAACTTGAAACAAGAGTTAGAAATGAAAGAAGAAAAATCTGAAGCCAAACGACTTGAACGCAAACTGCCAGATTCTCAGTCAAAGAACTTGGGGAACACATTAAACGTAACAACTGAAAACATCTGTTTATAGAGAAGTAATGTAGACGACTTATGTATATACTATGTGCTAGTACAATACACAACAACAAAGCTAAACCAGTTAAGGTATGCTATGTCGGGATCAATCTATTATTGCCCTCATCATCTTGCAAATAATAGATGCATAATTACTAATTAAAATACGACATAATTACTCAGCCGTAGCGGGTTATGGGATATCAGTCTGCCTCAGATTTTCACTGATCTGAAATTGCAGATTTGAAATTTACAATGGGAGGAAATTATCAGGACTGGAAACACACTTGGTTAGCCAGGCTCCTCACGTCCTGGAAACGCTCTGTCGAGTTTCCTGGACCGAATTGTGGATGCCATGGAAGATGGGTGGGTAAGTGGAAGGGCACCAGGTTAGTCCTGTCGGTAGTATTCCCTCTGGTTTATGAGTATCTAGTTACAATTATAAACCACTCCACTGTTCATCACCGACTTCGGTTGGAGTGGTTGTGGCTGGGTCGCTCGTTGGTTTGGTTATTCCACTGGTCGTGGGTGTAGCAGCCTGGGTAGTGTTAGCGGATCCTGTACTCGACTCGTTGATCTCTGTTGCGGAGAAACAGAGAGGACACACACAAGCATCTCAGCAAAGCAGACAACAGCATACCATCCCCGCTTCGCAAAATCTGATTTCAAAAATTACTATGGAAACCCACCAACATTTTGACTTTAGATCTTCACTTATTTTGTTCCATATTGCTCTCCTGAACTCATAGTGCTCAGGGTAATATTTGAGAGGAGAACACTTACAAGTTACGGTACAGATGGCCCGAAAAAGAGGAATTTCCTCACCTCTGAGGTCACCGGTGCTCCTGCCTATCATGCAGTCAGCCAGAAGGTTGTCCCCGGCCGAGCTTGGCCCGCTTGCCACCTTAAACACACCTCTATATACTCGTTGATGTCTGTGTGCATCGTGTATCTAGTAACAAGAGTAGATAAACAAGAGAGTGCAACTCGCGGATGGGTAGGCCCACGGCGGAATATTTTGTTGACGTAATCTTTTCGACGACGCACGCGCTGCGAGTCTTTCGGAAAGTTTTCCCTCGTGCTCATGGCCGGACTTCCACTACAAGGTCGGTGCCCAGCACGTGCTCTCACATTGCTCTGCGGCAAAATGCGCATGTCTCTGAAAAAAGGTGACGTCAGCAAAAAATTCCGGCGGGGTATCTGCAGATTGTGCAGGATAGATCCGGAGTTGCACACTCTTGTTTATCTACTCTTGCTAGTATCTAGTAGCTACCACCATTTCTCCGGGTATTAAGTTATGTCTTCGCCACCTTATCATTATTACTCAAAAAACTCTTTTCAGGAGCTGTATTGAGTTTTTAAAGCTCTCGTGAAATTGCAAAATCTGGGTTTGCGTTAGGGCTGAAAACCCCTGAATAGTCAAACTGAAAACCCCTGAATATCCGAACCTCTGTTCTTCTACCTCCCCAGCTCGAACATCCGCGATGTGAAGAAAATTCAAACTGGAAAACGCGATCCAATCCGCACACAACTTCCGGTTTTTCTGTGCTCGCACTGCACATGAACCATCCTGGCAAACAGTCCTACAGCGCAGCACCACAGGATGTGCTACGAAGTTGTTTCGCGAATTCCGTGTATGCACACTTAACCGTATCCATATATGCACACGTGACCGTATCCATAGCTGAGTGGTCAGGATACCTACCAACCATATGGCTTTTGGCCGGGACTGTTCCGATATCGAGGACGGTAATAGCGCCAAAGAGCGAATCGCAGATACGACCATTTTTTTTACAAATTGCATGCGAGGCGAGCACGTCTGTGAACAGCATGCCCAAGAAAGGGGACGTTCCCTGTAGGTCATGGTTGCATGGCTCATGCAAAGTAGAGGTCAGAATAGCTTGAGCCTCAGGAATCTGAGGACTTTGAATGACCATTCTACGTTGAGTGCGTGAGCCGATGAAAATTTTGGTTGGAGGATACAGAGTTTTGCTCACACGCAGTAAGGCAGCTCTCAAAAAGGCGGGACGGCTATTTTGTTGCTTGTAGATGGCATTTAGCAGCAATAGTTGGAGAGCCAAGATCTGTAGCACATCGCATCCATATGCCAACTGGACGTACAGAAACTAAAAATGAATTGAAAACGCACTGTGACGGTAACTTAGTAACGATGATTCCGAGACCTTTGGTCGGAGGAGTTACTTTTCCATCCAATATGCCACCGCCCCGCTGTGCAGCATCTGATGGTTCTATGGTATTCAGTGAAAAACAAAAACAAAAAAACTTACCAGGTGTGGGTGGGTAAAGGCAGGTCGTTGCATTTGTACAGACACCGACTTCACCACACTCTTTGCCGCTGTCAGCATCGACCGAACACTGGCTGGTGACTCGAGACTTGTCCACGCAGCGTTGCTTGTGGCACACGAGGTCCTTGTTAGCGCCGCTGGCATCACAGCGTGTTCCGTCCTTCACGAGCGATGGGTCATCGTGGCTTCTTGGCGGGGACGCGTACAAACCATTGCACTTGCCAACATCGGGTACGCGAATGGTTTCGGCCAGAACGTCACTACTGGGTTGAATCTTTCGAGCAACTGGAAGGCAGAACAAACTACCACATAGGGAATCTCCAGCCGCACAGGCTGCATAGGTTCCTGGGGTGGAATTGGATGATTTGAAACCACAGTTACCAATACGGTCACCATCCATGTTCATGATTGTGAAGCAATCCTCAGGAGCTGACCCTTGATCCATATCGTTCCAGACACTCTGACACTGGCCAGTTCGTGATTGACAAACTCCACTCCAGCAGTATGCTTGACTATTGGAGCATGGCCAGCCATTGCGCGCGGTCAGGTCCTCTGGACATGTGGCAGTCTCGCCGTCGCAGTACTCCGCCACGTCACAGTCGCTGGTGGCGGCGCGGCAGACGTGATCCCGGCGTGTCACGATGCGCTTGTTCACGCAACATGGGTCCGTGTCCGCACACCCTGCATTAAACCAACACACAACAACAACATTGGTCAGTATGCCTGACATTGGTATGACAGTAAGAAATCAGTCTCGAAAATCCCAAAGAAAAATGTGTGCAGCATGCCAATTATGCCCGCAGCAGACATCGAGAAAAAAATGATGGGAGGTACTATTTAGGGACTTTCACATCATCGACAAACCATTCACGGCGGCTGCAAGCAAGGTCAAACCATTATATCAAGGATCCATAATCCTCTAGAACGCGCAACTTCACTGATCAGATCTGGGACGGCAAAATCCGTGTTGCACGTCATAGTGTGACATCATAGTGTGACATCATGAGTAGGGGAAGTGTGGACCGTAGTTGACCGCGTCGATGCAATGACGCAAGTCCGACCCAAAAAATGACGTACATCACGGATTACGCCGGCCCACAACCCAATCCCAGTTGAGCACTCTGGGGGATTATGGACTCTTGATGATATTAATGAGGCAGGGACACTCCACTTCTCAAAATCCGCTGTTATCTGTTATCCTGCTTATGTTTCCCGGTGACACAAAATGGGCATTTTGCAACAAGCCAGGAGACCAGAAGTTGCTGGGGCCGATGACCGGCATTCATGCATGCAAGTTGGCCTAACTACTCCAACCAACGACAGGCAATCAACTACTACAATCGCCGTACCTGATTATTAGCCGTACCCAGGTTATACCCATCCACCCTGTACGTCGCGGTTTATTTAACCACCGGAGTGTGAGCAGCACAGACCTTTTTGGGGGGGGGGGGGGGGAGGGTGCAAATTAGGAGTGTTTAAAATGTGGACTATAATCTGAACACACGAGTAGTATAGTGCGGTAGGGGTTTTGGTTCTGGTAGTTTTTCACCGCACACCGTGTTTCACCGCACATAGATTTACAACGCGAAAGAAATGTAACTGCAACATGCAGTACGCACAGCAAAGGAATGCAGCGTATTCACTTCATTACGTAGACACTTACGGGTCTGGCACCGGTCACCAATCCATCCTTCAGCGCAGGTGCAGGTGCCGTCTTCATTACAACGACCCTGATTCAGACATGTTTTGCACTCTGCAGCAGTTATTATGTGCAGTGCATGACGTACATATTGTGTCAGTGCACAACAAATAGCAGCAGAACAGCACAGCATGGTTAGTACATGATTCATGATCATCATTGGGTGCGACACGTCAAAGCAGTTTTTTCTAAACATCCAGTTTACACAACACCCCAGGTGCACTGGGGGGAGATCCACCACATTCAAACGGAATGATATAGTAGTAGTGGATCTGGATCTTGATCAGGGTCTGAAGAAACAATCACAACCTCAGCCTCATATGCAATCAGCGAAAATAACTGTTTGCATTGACAAAAAGAATGTCTTGCTACCTACCGAGTTGGCAATGTTCTCCGTAGAATCTTATCGGGCAGGTGCATTTACCATTGTTGTCGCACTGACCCTGGTTCAAGCACTTGCAGTCGTCTGTAGAGATACGATATATTCATGCATGCGCAACAAGATCAGGGAATGGCAAGGAAAAGCATCACGGCATGCTATGCAATGAGAAGCATGAAGGGAGAAATTCAACCACACACAAGTTATCAGTATAGGAGCCAGACTGTCCAAGCACCAGACTTCCCAGAGTATAAAAGCCACACATCACTAGTTCAACCAAAACAATTAGGGGGTGCGGCTTATTCTGCGATGGTCAAATTAATTAACGGCGATAGATAGGGTAGTAAAAGTGGGGAGGCTTCCTGCAGTTTCATAAACAGTTTCATAAACAGTTGAGAGTAGAGTTGAGAGTAGAGCCCACACGCTCTCTTCCATTAACACTGCAATAGTTCAACTCATTTCACAACAATTATTCCAACGTTTCGGCAAATTGCCTTCATCAGGTTCACAATGATGTGCAAGCTTCCAAACTATAGGGTAGGTAGCTGCATTTCGTGTCAAAAAATCTGGGTGTGGAAATTCGGTCGTGATATCAGCACATGGTCAGGTACAGTATTTTCCAGAGTAAAATCCGCATTTGCGTATAAAGCGATTAAAGGCCGATTGACAAAACAACTTCTTGCAACGCGACATGCGGCTTGTGACACCTGCGACGAGCTGCGACAGCGACACACGGTTCACAATCTTTTTTTCATGTTTGCGACATCCTTATGCACTAGTAGTACTATGCACGTGCACTGCATGTGCACCCAGGGTAGAAACTGTACTCCATTTGTGTATGTAGAACGTCACATGTCGCAAAAGTTGAACTTTCTTCAACTTCTGCGACAGGTGCCTTGCGACTGTACGCGACAGCTCTAGACAGGCAGTCTCTAGTCGCAACTGTCGCAAATCGCGTCGCAGAAAGTGGTGTTGTGAATCGGCCTTAATTAAGCTGCCCTCGAGTATAAGCCACACGCGGATTTTGTTGGTCCTGAAATATAGACATATACCCCGTTTACCAGCTTTTTTTTACCATAGTCCTACATGTACAATCCACACAGACCTAGACAGTTTTATCCTGCAGTCTTACCCTTTTCACAGTATTCGCCATAGAAGACAGAGCGGTTGCACTTGCAACTCAGGTCCTGGGCAAGAACGCCGTTAGCACAGTGCTCTGCGCAGAAAAGACAACACAAAAGGCTCCATTGCATCACTCGTTCACAGTTCGCTACACTCGCGGCATCACAACACACTGAATTGAGTGGAAAGTACGGTGAAATTTTTTTATCAGGGCATGTCGGACTGTGGGTGTTGATTTGAATGGTCCATATCAGTGGAGGCTGCAGGTCCATCGCTAATCAGATATTCCTGATCCAACGTCAGCACCCAGTCAGCTCAGCAAGCGTTCGGCAAATACACACAATACATGTATGTTGCCACTTCTTCCACCACCGAATGTAAAACAGTTTGTACAGTGGTCCATGCTTCATGTGCGTGACGAGTTATCTTGTCATTGTCGATTTAAGTTAACTCATTTTCTGCTAAGCCAGCGCTGTAGCCTAGTGTAGGTCATACTCTTGGTAAGGCTCTGAGCCCGTAGTATCACATAATTCTACGTCTAGAAGGTGAATAGCACAGGATTCTTTTCTCCCAGAAACAAAAACACAACCCAAATCTCCGTTCATGAAGTAGTGCCAACGTTTGAATATATTGCTGTTACAGTCAGACCTCGCTTATCCGGTCCTCTTTTATCCGGATCCCTCGTCATCCGGAAGAAAATCGTTGGTTACCGATTTACAGCATATCTAGTGCATACGGACAGCAGTAGGTGTGTTCGATTATCCGGGTCTCTCGCCTATCCGGATATTATTTGTGGAAAACGGGTGTGTGCGGTTAAGCTAGTAAACGACATGTTGGCACAGTTCATGTTCGCACAGGACATGTTGGCACAGGACATGTTGGGACAGGACATGTTTGGACAGGACATGTTGGGACAGGACATGTTGGGACAGGACATGTTGGGACAGAACATGCTGGGATAGGACATATGGGGACCGGACATGTTGACCCAAGATTTGTTTGTAAAGGACGTTTGGGCACAGCAGACATTGGCATCGCGGATGTTGGCATATCATATACTGGCACAAGTACTGTTGTTCCAATCTGCGTTGCCACAATGCATATTGGTATAAGTCATGATGGCACAGATATGTTTGGACGAAACCTGTTCACACTCAAGGCATTTTCATAACGACAGATTGCATGCCTTCTCACCGGCCGGTAGTACCCAAGAAATCGCTCTGCAAAAGTGCTTTTGGTTGAGAATCTTCTTGAAACATTTGTTGGGATGAGGTCTTTCACATATAAGGCAAAGTAATGGCGCAAATGAAGCAATGTTTTATTCCTCTGTGTCCGCAACCAACATAATATGCTATTTCGTTATGTTGGTTGCGGACACAGAGGAATAAAATATTGCTTCCACAGGGGCAGCCATTGTTAAAACCACTCTAAATTATCATTATCACTTACTGACACAGAGGATTTTGGCGTGGCGATTGATTGTGGAATTTTGAAGCTGATTACTGTGATTTCTGAACGTTACAGTTCTGTAATGGGAGTTGCCATTCACTCGGATTCGTTTGACGTGGTAAGATGCATGCCGAAGAGCCAATCTATCTAGCCAGCGCTTTCTTAATACATGGCCATGTGCGTGCAGCCAGTCCTTGGTTATGAGGTGAAGTCCGTACTCCTGACATGCCTCCTCTGCGAATTGCTCAGTCACGCTGGGTTTCAGTGATGGCGTGGCTGCGGCGTATACAGAGTCGTTGTAACGGAGCCACTTGGCTGCAGGACAAGGGCACATACAGTAGTGGGCAGAGAATAGGCACAATAGTAATGAAATACTCGAATAACGGGTGCCCTGGACTCTATAGTCATACTCAATGAAACATTGTCTGATGGCAGTGTCAGTGCAATGAACAAAAAATAAGGTAATCGATAACCGCTTTTCAGTGATCGTTTCAGCCCTACCCTGAGTACTTGCCGGGCTGTGGCTGGGCAGACCTCAGTGACCAGCGGTACGCCACTGTTGCGATTTAGTGCAGATTTAGTGCCCTCAATTTGCGCGACCATTGACGCCGTGGAAGTGGGAGGAATGCGGCCACATACGCATGTACAAATTCAATGATGAAAGCGGAACTGGTCCAGGGCAGCCAGCTTTGCATTTTGGGTCTATTTTCACCGAGCGCAACTACACTTAAAGCAGTGCCGGAGAAAGAAGTTTTAACCAAGCTATGAATAAACCGTATGACACCGACATAATGTGATGAACAAATGAACTTCGTATCTTTATAGTTGTAGTCTCTTAGGGCGCGTTTGATTGGTCGGATCCGGAACAGGATCGTTTAGAACAGGGCCGTTTGATTGGTCTGCACTGGTCTGCTCTGGTTTCGGAGTGTTCAGAACATGTTCTGACCACTCCAACCCCAGAGGCTGGAGCAGCCAGAGATTGTTGCAAAGCCCAATGGAAACCTGACAGGACTACACAATGAATTTCGTATATTGTTTTGATTCGAATGGATTTTGGCATGTCAGTGATTACGAAAGGGCGTGGTGATGTACATGGAGGTCTACGTGTGATTTTGCACATTACACGGCGGTCCCCACGTCCATGATTGATTTTTTGGCTGTCTTCGAAGCTTCTTCTCCGGTTGTAGTTGCCTTTCAAGTTTGTTTTGCCTTAGTGTGAACTTTAAAATGCTAACCATGTATAGTAGTACCAAGAGTACATAACCCCCCCCCCCAGAGTGTGCAACGCCTGATCCAGCTCTGCATGGGGTATTGGTCGAGCGCAATCGGATCTTTGCGTCATAATACCGTACACATCTGAGGGGAACCCGGGGAGTCGCGGGTAGTCTTGGATCAAAAACACTGGTGCCCTGCCTCGAGACCAGCCTTGCGCTGGTGGGGAGTGTACGCATGACATCAGAAGATTCGATTCCGCTCGACCAAGACCCTATGCAGAGTTGCATCAGGCGTTGCACACTCTGGGGGGTTATGTACTCTTGGTATTACTTCCTACCCTATCATTTGCTCTGACGCGTTCATTTGATCACAATGCAACAGCCTACCTTCGCAGATGACATCATGATGGCTTGTTCCATCACTATCATACAATTCTTTAGGCAACTTGTTCTTGCCCTGCTGGTATATGAGATGTTGGTCATCCTTCTTGAACGATGTCCATATTGAAGTAGGGTTTCTGTAACCGCTCGTCACTATCTTGTTGAGCAATGCTCCCATGCAGTCGCGCACGCCAAGCGTCTGATTGGTGAAGGCATTATGGTCTACCACGTCGTATCCTCTTCTCTTGCACATCTGGCGGGCATGCGTCAAGTTCGTTTTCTTCTGGCAGCTGTCACCGTCGAGGTGTGGATGACACGGCAAGCTGGCGAGAGCCATCCAGGTGTACGTTGCGTTATCTGTACCCAGGCACTTTGTCTTGAAAACTGAACATAACACAGTACAAATGCAAGACACAGTCAGGTGAAGTAGAAATCACACATCAACAAGATGTACACTTCCTAGGCAGCGGTACCATAGTTCAATTGAAAATATAATATATACCTATGCAAATACCACTCGGCCATTTAGCTCCACTTCCTCCAGCAAACTGACTTTCCAGCGCACTTTCTCTCCGGGTATCGTTTTACCCACAGTTCAGAACGAAACATTCCATTTTGTCTTCTCATTTCACCTTCATAGACTTTCATCATCTTGGCCTTGTTGGAAGGATCAGACCTTAGCATATCCATTCTAATAGCTCTCAGCTAAAAACTGCGTTAGATTTTAGCTACCTGGTAAAGTAGAGTCACTCTACCGATAGAGGTAGAAGGTAGAGGTAAGTGGACAAATGCTATTCTACCGGATTTAGTAGTTTACACGATATGTACGTGAAATGTTTCTCTTCTGTATGGAGTTGTGTACAAATCCTTGATCTTGCCGGAAATCCCGTAGCTCTACCAACTTCTACCGGCTTCCACCAACTTTTTCCTGGTAGAGCCGGTAGAGGAAAGTAGAATCCACCCTTTTGAGTAGAAGAAACGAACGCCTCTACCAAAAGAAATAGTTTCTACTCAAACCTGTATATCAAAAACGAACGCCCCGTTAATGTGTACAGGTATTCCCACATTTCACAGAAATATGCCACCAAACTGGAATTCACTTCATACAGCATAATTATACTCACTGTGCTGACACTGGTCTCCGTGGAAACCGTTCTGGCAGTTGCAACTGCCATCGTCAGTGCACTGGCCGTCATTCAAGCAATTGCATGCTGCAGCAGTGATTGGGAACATTCACGCATTTTCCAAAAAAGCACAAAGAGAGGGACAGAAAAGCGGATTCTTGACATGTCCTTGAACATCATCAAATGGAGACATCAAATTAACTCTTAAAAAAATATGTTGCAAAAGAAGGATCCACGAGCGGGATTCGAACCCAGCACCCCTGTCTTTCCGGGACAGTGCCCTACCGATTAGGCTACCGGGGATCACACACACTCATGGGTCCTTCTTGCTACACTGCTCCCCCGCCCCAACAGGCTGTGTCCTCACGTCGTACCTAGCTCACGGGGGGTACGATGGGTCGTGGGTTCGAGCCATTGCCAGGCGCCAATGTTGCAAAAGAAGGATCCACGAGCGGGATTCGAACCCAGCACCCCTGTCTTTCCGGGACAGTGCCCTACCGATTAGGCTACCGGGGATCACACACACTCATGGGTCCTTCTTGCTACAATAGCACAACTCATGAGAGTGACCAAGTCCCCATAAATATGCATTATTTATTCCACATGAATAGAATATATAGGTAGAATAGGTTGGAGGAGCTGGCATGAGGACACGGAAGTTTTTTTCTTCTTCTCGACTCCGAATACACCATTCCAGCATGCATGAACCCGTGGGTCATACATTATTTGACACGCGGGCTTATTGCAGTAGCTTTCTTTAGCCCTTACCTTCTGTGCAGTTGCGTCCATCTAGTCCAGGTTGACATTCACACACTTTGCTCTTTTTCACCCAGGGTTTCGCGCACACAACTGCATCCATCACATAGCACACACCGAAGAGAAAGAACACGAGAGAGTGAATCAGCCGGTAACGGAGTCAGGCAGACTAAAGACAATACTATAATATAAAGTAAAAGAGGCTGGGCCAGGGAAACTAACTTATGGATAAATCTGGGTTTCGATCATAATGGCCTTCTTCCAAAAGATAGAATTGCTGCTGGAAGGTAGGCACTGTTTATATAATAAAGCAGGAATGACAAGCAGCAGTTTACAAATCAGTGCAATCAGTAGATAGCGTCAATTATCATCACTGCTCTCAGCCCTTCGGCACACTCAGACAATTGAAACTTTGCTAAGAAACAAAATGACGACAGAAGCACAGCGTGACATGACAAACTCAAAGACAAAGGGTGGTAATAGGTTTTTCATTTGACAAGACTAGACCAAACCAGAGCACTTGCAGACGACAGCACGAACAGTTCACAGTTCAGGAGTGCCACAAATTGCTATTTTGGAGTGTGGCCGGAGAACTATTCGTGCTTTTTTGTTGTTGTTGTGTCATTTAGGAGTGAAACGAATTCTGAATATTCTGGAATTGTTCGTTTGGAGAACAACTCGAAGCATTCGGTTCAGATCTGAATACATTGTGTTTGGTTTTGGACACTTTGCATGTGCAAGTAATACTGCAGTCATTGACTGAGTCAGTGTGAGGATATAGCTTACAACCAGGGAGTCGTAAAATACCGATATTTTACGACTCCCTGCTTACAACATTAGAGAGGTTCCGCATAACATAATTACGCGAGCAAAAAAGCATAGTCGATGCACGGAAAGTCACACTGCATGCGGACCTGTGTTCCGCCGTACGGAGTTTTCGAATCATGTACCTGCCCTTGGCAGCTTGGAACGCGGCAGTGTATGACCGGGTCGACCTGGGTAGAGAGTCGTAAATTTACACCACTAAGGTAAAGTTGCTCAGCTTTACGTAGTGCCGAACCTCTCTATTAGGATAACCTCAAGTACATGGCAGTAGAATGCGGTGGTTGGCTAGCTGGGAAAGGGGACTATGGCTCACAAGGCTGAACCAGAAAGACCTGTCTACATATGCTACAGTCACGTGAGAACAGGCAAATTATAGAATATTTGGTATCCAATTCGAAGAAGAGGTTAGTGCTACTTCGGAGATACATATTCAATTCGTCTAGAGAATATTCGGTACAATGTAGAATATTCGTCTCACCCCTAGACTCCTATTTCAAGCGAGCACCCAAAAAGACCAGTATACATGTCCTAGTTCTCCGTCACCCCTGTTAAACCTATCGCGGAGCCTGCTCGTGCATGTAAAAGTAAAGGGGACCCCACTTTTACATGGATGTACGCTCTGAAAATCCCACGCCGACTATATGAAATGAGTAAAACGAATTCACTTCTACTTACCGAGTTGACAATGGCGGCCGGTGAATCCTCTAGGGCAGCTGCATTCACCTTTGTCATCACACTCACCCCGGTTCAAGCACTTGCATGCTGCAACAGCCAGCGAAAAAGGCACGTACATGGATTGGGTGACACAGAAATAATGCACGGGAGGTCACTGTGCAGTAATTGCTGGCCCTCGGAGGCAATCACGCACAAACTCAAGTCAAAGCACTCACTTTGTAGTTTCACATAAAGAATCGTCAGGGAAGAAATATACACACTTGGAACGCAAAGAGTGTAAAGAAGCAACAAGAAAGAAGAGAGGAAGGGAACAAAAGTTCGGCAACCGGCAGCCATGGTCTCTAGGTCATTAACCAATAAGCAATCTACGAAAACCGGTTGCCGACAAAATTCTAGAACCTTCTGGCCTTGTGACGTCTTCAGGTGGCGAAATGCACTGAATGACCTCTCCAATGTGGCGTTTGTGGCCGGAAGCATAGACAGTCATGTGGCAAAGCACTGAATCTGCACCCTTATCATAATCCAGGAAAGCCCAGATGGTGAACCGTTAGGGCTTACAAGCGCACATTACAGGCTTCGTTTCCTCGCACAATTGTTTTGGAAACTAAAAACATTGCTGGCTATGGGAATATAAGAAAGCTCAGGAACAGACGCCTTCAAGTTTTTTGCAGCCATCTCTGACACTCGATCAACATGAAGCAAAAAAAAAAACCTGTGCCGCCAGTCTGTCCCTGAGAGCCCTACATATAAGGCACAGTACATGCAGGTCTCCCTAGTCAGTGCTGTGTACATAATGCACATAGTACTGAACTCCTATCAGCTCTCTAGAAAGAGAAAAGGAAACATTGGCCCGAAAAGTGGTCCAGTGAAAGCAGGACCAACCGGACAGGTGGCTTTGCCCACTGTAATAGCTTACACACACACACACACACATACACGCACATACACACACAAACACGCACATACACGCACATACAGATACGCATATGCGCCCATACAGACACATACACACACATCAACAGTATACACACATATACACACATACACACACACACACATGCACACACACATGCACACACACACACACATGCACACAAACCTAATGGCTTGCTGTCTTACCCTTTTCACATTCTTCACCGTAGGACATAGTGCGGTTACATACACAACGCATGTCCGGTGCAAGAACACCGCTCCCACAGGACTCTGTGCAGAAAAAGACAATAAAAGTCAATATTGGATTACTCTTATGCAGTCTCTATTAGCAAGAGTACATAACCCCTCAGAGTGTGCAACTCGACTATGGGTGCTGTCCCGACAGAATTTCATTTTGATGATGCAATGCGCACTGTACACGGATTATCAGACGAATCCAGAACCTGTGGTTGACCGAAGCCGATCTGATCCTGTACAAATTATTTCAAAGAAAAAAACGTGTAATGCGTTGACACCCGTACACATGTTGTAAATCACTGGCGCAAGGAGCATTGCGTCATAAATAATGACGCCAAACTTGAAGTTCTGTCGGGACAGCAGGGTATGTGGGAGTTGCACACGCTGGGGGTTATGTTCTCTTGATATTAGTATAACACTAGAATGGGGATAAAAGCTTATCTTAAAAAAACCTGTCACACAAAATTAAAGGAACAAGATGAGTTGTTCTTTGGCTTTTACTCCCACGGTACCATAGAACGGGATGTATGACAGCAAGGCCTTTTTTCTTCTTCAAAATCGTCGCTCTTGGGTAAAGTCAAGGAGCTGGAGTTTTTTCTACAAAATCCACATATCTCCAGACACTGGGGTGAATGATGGAGTGTGGTGGTGGGGCCCATTAAGCTCCGCCGACCAGGGGTGAGTGTAGCGCGTTCCATAGCTGCAGTTTAATTATTAAAGTATTGCACCAAAATATTACCCCAATGCAAACACCTGAATGTGACATATGCTCTGATGGGTGCCGATTACCTCTACCACCCCAACACTTCCAACAAGATCCGTATTACTGTGCATTGCATACTGCGGACGCTAAAATGATCGAAACTCGGCTTTCCGTGAAAGCAAGAGTACATAACCCCCCAGAGTGTGCTACTCCCACATACCCTGTTGTCCCGACAGAATTTCAAGTTGACGTCATTATTTATGACGCAATGCTCCTTGCAGCAGTGATTTACAACATGTGTACGGGTGTCAACGAATCACACGTTTTTCTTTGCAATAATTTGTACAGGATCGATCGGCTTCGGTCAACCACAGGTTCCGGATTCGTCTGATAATCCGTGTACAGTGCGCATTGCTTCATCAAAATGACGTCAACTTGAAAT